TGCTTAATTGCCCCTTGCTTAATTGCAATCAAGTAGGTGTTGCGTAATCAATCAACCATTTGCCCTTAATTAGCTGTCTTGAGCTGTAGTTAATAGCAGACCGTTTCATTGATAACTTATGCATTTGGTGAGGCTAATTAACAAAACCCATTTATTTTCTTTTGAACTTACGTTAACATGTTTGTCCTAAAATGCTTCCAGAATACTTTTGTAAGCTATGATAGTGTCGTGTCCCTCGCAAGTACGAAATAAAGTTATAACATATCACCATATTGGTATGAAAGATACTATTCCATAAAACATACTATCACTGGCCACTGACAAACATTAGCAGTATTAGAATAAGTTAGTGAGTGAGTGAGTACGGTTTTACGCCGCTTTCAGCAATATTCCAGCAATATCACGGCGGGGGACACCAGAAATGGGCTTCACACATTGTACCCATGTTGGGAATCGAACACGGGTCTTCGGCGTGACGAGCGAACGCTTTAACCACTAGGCGACCCGACCGCCCTCTTAGAATAAGAAACATAATTAAATACAGTATGACGTATAAGCATACAGAAAACTAAGAGAGCCCAAATTACTTCAGTTTCTGTACTGTACTTGGGTTTACCTCGATACACCTGGACATTATAAATTGGTGTATAGGTAGATATAACACTAATCTATAGATTAAGTCACATTTGAAGATACATCTGTGTGTTTAAAGTTGATTTTGACCGCCCGGGCCAAGTCGGACCCAACACAAGCCAAACACTTCTGATAGAGACTATGTTTAGAATGTAGAGGGGAAAAGGGCTTCACTTTAAGCCCCATGTCTTCTATAAATACTGCGATCTGTGACATTATAAATTGGTGTATAGGTAGATATAACACTAATCTATAGATTTAATCACATTTGAAGATACATCTGTGTGTTTAAAGTTGATTTTGACCGCCCGGGCCAAGTCGGAACCAACACAAGCCAAACACTTCTGATAGAGACTATGTTGAGAATGTAGAGGGAAAAGGGCTTCACTTTCGAGCCCCTTGTTGTCTATAAATACTGCAATCTGTGACATTATAAAGTGGTGTATAAGTAGATATAATACTAATCTATAGATTTAATCACATTTGAAGATATATCTGTGAGGTTTAAGTTGATTTTAACAGCCCGGGCCAGGTCGGACCGAACATTTCTGACTTGGATTTTTTAAAGAAAATACAGTAAAAATGCTTCACTTTAAGGGCGCAGATTTCTTTAAATGCGACACACCTGGACATTATAAATTGGTGTATAGGTAGATATAACACTAATATATAGATTTAATCACATTTGAAGATACATCTGTGTGTTTAAAGTTGATTTTGACCGCCCGGGCCAAGTCGGACCCAACACAAGCCAAACACTTCTGATAGAGACTATGTTGAGAATGTAGAGGGAAAAGGGCTTCACTTTCGAGCCCCTTGTTGTCTATAAAGACTGCAATCTGTGACATTATAAAGTGGTGTATAGGTAGATATAACACTAATCTATAGATTTAATCACATTTGAAGATACATCTGTCTATTTAAAGTTGATTTTGACCGCCCGGGCCAAGTCGGACCCAACACAAGCCAAACACTTCTGATAGAGACTATGTTGAGAATGTAGAGGGAAAAGGGCTTCACTTTCGAGCCCCTTGTTGTCTATAAATACTGCAATCTGTGACATTATAAAGTGGTGTATAGGTAGATATAATACTAATCTATAGATGTGAATCCATTTGATGATACATCTGTGAGGTTTAAGTTGATTTTAACAGCCCGGGCCAGGTCGGACCGAACATTTCTGACTTGGATTTTTTAAAGAAAATACAGTAAAAATGCTTCACTTTAAGGGCGCAGATTTCTTTAAATGCGATACACCTGGACATTATAAATTGGTGTATAGGTAGATATAACACTAATCTATAGATTTAATCACATTTGAAGTTACATCTGTGTGTTTAAAGTTGATTTTGACCGCCCGGGCCAAGTCGGATCCAACACAAGCCAAACACTTCTGATAGAGACTATGTTGAGAATGTAGAGGGAAAAGGGCTTCACTTTCGAGCCCCTTGTTGTCTATAAATACTGCAATCTGTGACATTATAAAGTGGTGTATAGGTAGATATAATACTAATCTATAGATGTGAATCCATTTGATGATACATCTGTGAGGTTTAAGTTGATTTTGACAGCCCGGGCCAGGTCGGACCGAACATTTCTGACTTGGATTTTTTAAAGAAAATACAGTAAAAATGCTTCACTATAAGGGCGCAGATTTCTTTAAATGCGATACACCTGGACATTATAAATTGGTGTATAGGTAGATATAACACTAATCTATAGATTAAGTCACATTTGATGATACATCTGTGTGTTTAAAGTTGATTTTGACCGCCCGGGCCAAGTCGGACCCAACACAAGCCAAACACTTCTGATAGAGACTATGTTGAGAATGTAGAGGGAAAAGGGCTTCACTTTAAGCCCCATGTCTTCTATAAATACTGCGATCTGTGACATTATAAATTGGTGTATAGGTAGATATAACACTAATCTATAGATTTAATCACATTTGAAGATACATCTGTCTATTTAAAGTTGATTTTGACCGCCCGGGCCAAGTCGGACCCAACACAAGCCAAACACTTCTGATAGAGACTATGTTGAGAATGTAGAGGGAAAAGGGCTTCACTTTCGAGCCCCTTGTTGTCTATAAATACTGCAATCTGTGACATTATAAAGTGGTGTATAAGTAGATAAAACTAATCTATAGATGTGAATCCATTTGATGATACATCTGTGAGGTTTAAGTTGATTTTAACAGCCCGGGCCAGGTCGGACCGAACATTTCTGACTTGGATTTTTTAAAGAAAATACAGTAAAAATGCTTCACTTTAAGGGCGCAGATTTCTTTAAATGCGATACACCTGGACATTATAAATTGGTGTATAGGTAGATATAACACTAATCTATAGATTAAGTCACATTTGAAGATACATCTGTGTGTTTAAAGTTGATTTTGACCGCCCGGGCCAAGTCGGACCCAACACAAGCCAAACACTTCTGATAGAGACTATGTTGAGAATGTAGAGGGAAAAGGGCTTCACTTTAAGCCCCATGTCTTCTATAAATACTGCGATCTGTGACATTATAAATTGGTGTATAGGTAGATATAACACTAATCTATAGATTTAATCACATTTGAAGATACATCTGTCTATTTAAAGTTGATTTTGACCGCCCGGGCCAAGTCGGACCCAACACAAGCCAAACACTTCTGATAGAGACTATGTTGAGAATGTAGAGGGAAAAGGGCTTCACTTTCGAGCCCCTTGTTGTCTATAAATACTGCAATCTGTGACATTATAAAGTGGTGTATAGGTAGATATAATACTAATCTATAGATGTGAATCCACTTGATGATACATCTGTGAGGTTTAAGTTGATTTTAACAGCCCGGGCCAGGTCGGACCGAACATTTCTGACTTGGATTTTTTAAAGAAAATACAGTAAAAATGCTTCACTTTAAGGGCGCAGATTTCTTTAAATGCGATACACCTGGACATTATAAATTGGTGTATAGGTAGATATAACACTAATCTATAGATTTAATCACATTTGAAGTTACATCTGTGTGTTTAAAGTTGATTTTGACCGCCCGGGCCAAGTCGGACCCAACACAAGCCAAACACTTCTGATAGAGACTATGTTGAGAATGTAGAGGGAAAAGGGCTTCACTTTGAGTTCTGTGTTTTCTTTAACTACTGAAATATGAGACAATAAAGTGGTAAATAATTAGATAAAATACTAGTGTTTAGATATAAATAATGTTAGGAACTTTAGAAGTGCTTGGACAGTTATTAACACGTGTCGTGTCAGTCTTTTGACATTCGAGAATATCCATTTCCAGAAAACATCCTGTGTTGGTTTAACACGAATTAGTAAAGGTTAATTACCTAAACACGTTAATTAATGAAAGAAGAGTAGTCAAAACAGTGTCGTTTCCTGCCCAGGACATCACACCCCTACACGCTAAGGTCGGTGAGAAGCATTCTAATCAAAGAATACACAGTCAAGACGCTGACTTTTCTACGAGACTCACGGTATGTAGTCATAATCATCAGTTAATTACATTGTTGAAGGTGCATTTTTATTCAAACTCAATTAAATGAGCAAAACTATACGTTTGTGGACATTTGAGATCTGCCTAGATATGCGCGTTTCGTTTTATTATTCTGCAATCCATTTTTAGTATTACCCGCTGGCCCGGCCCGGCCCGACTTTTCTTGGCCCGACTTTTAGGCAATCCCCTTAAGCGATCTACGTTGTGTTAACTTGTATATAATCCCTCCCATATGAATCAAATAAGTTCAGACTGATAAGCTTAATGTGTGTGAGGAACGCCTAACTTTGTGCGACTGAGACGTTTACCGCTTAGGTGAAACCCACGAGCACCGAAAGAAGCTGAAAAACCAAGAAACATAAATCAGGCAGAATATGGGTTCGAACCCACGGTCATAAGGTTCTGGAACGACTAAAGGACGCAACTCTTACGGCGCCTTAGATGATTGGTCCACCCGTACCCACCCATAAGGCCGTCATATTGCTGGAATATTGCTGAGTGCGGCGTTAAACAACAAACAAACAAACAAACAAACAAACAAACCAATCCATAAGGTGACTGTGCTTGTCGTAAGAGGCGACTAACGGGATCAGGTGGTCAGGCTCGCTGACTTGGTTGATGCAAGTCATTGATCCCAATTGCGTGGATCGATGCTCATGATATCAATCACTGGATTGCCTGGTCCAGACTTGATTATTTTCAGACCGCCGTCATATCGCTGGAATATTGCTGATTGCGGCGTTAACAACAAACCAACCATCCAACCAACCATAAGGTATTAACGTTCTAGGAGATCATTTACAGCTTGCTCGGGACTCCCATGAGTAAGACGAAAACATTATTGTTTCATTATGCTTGTATTCAACAGAGCACATTTGTAGCAGCGATTGAGAACGGCTTTGATATGACGATGATCAACCGCATCAACTTCAACCACATGGCCTACGCCGTTGTGGGACATTGCAGTCATAGAGACAGCTTCCTGATCCACCGAGGTGAGAACGCAAGACTTCAGCTTGAGACTATTATGACATTACAGGCACTGCTACAAGAACCCGAGGGGTAAAGGTTGGTTGGTTTGTTTGTTGTTTAACGCCGCACTCAGCAATATTCCAGCTATATGACGGCGGTCTGTAAATAATCGAGTCTGGACCAGACAATCCAGTGATTGACATCATGAACATCGATCCACGCAATTGGAATCGATGACAGGCATCAACCAAGTCAGCGAGCCTGACCACCCGATCCCGTTAGTCGCCTTTTACGACAAGCATAGTCGCCTTTTACGGCAAGCATGGGTTGCTGAAGACCTATTCTACCCCGGATCTTCACGGGTCGGGTAAAGGAGGGGTAGTGGAGGGAGATGGGTAGTGGAGGGAGATGGGTAGTGGGGGGAGATGGGTAGTGGAGATGGTGATGGGAAGTGGAGATGATGATGGGTAGTGGAGATGGTGATGGGTAGTGGAGGGAGATGGGTAGTGGAGATGGTGATGGGTAGTGGAGATGGTGATGGGAAGTGGAGATGATGATGGGTAGTGGAGATGATGATGGGTAGTGGAGGGAGATGGGTAGTGGAGATGGTGATGGGTAGTGGAGATGGTGATGGGAAGTGGAGATGATGATGGGTAGTGGAGATGGTGATGGGTAGTGGAGGGAGATGGGTAGTGGAGATGGTGATGGGTAGTGGAGATGGTGATGGGAAGTGGAGATGATGATGGGTAGTGGAGATGATGATGGGTATTGGAGGGAGATGGGTAGTGGAGATGGTGATGGGTAGTGGAGATGGTGATGGGTAGTGGAGATGGTGATGGGAAGTGGAGATGATGATGGGTAGTGGAGATGGTGATGGGTAGTGGAGGGAGATGGGTAGTGGAGATGGTGATGGGTAGTGGAGATGGTGATGGGAAGTGGAGATGATGATGGGTAGTGGAGATGATGATGGGTAGTGGAGGGAGATGGGTAGTGGAGATGGTGATGGGTAGTGGAGATGGTGATGGGTAGTGGAGATGGTGATGGGAAGTGGAGATGATGATGGGTAGTGGAGATGGTGATGGGTAGTGGAGGGAGATGGGTAGTGGAGATGGTGATGGGTAGTGGAGATGGTGATGGGAAGTGGAGATGATGATGGGTAGTGGAGATGATGATGGGTATTGGAGGGAGATGGGTAGTGGAGATGGTGATGGGTAGTGGAGATGGTGATGGGTAGTGGAGATGGTGATGGGAAGTGGAGATGATGATGGGTAGTGGAGATGGTGATGGGTAGTGGAGGGAGGTGGGTAGTGGGGGGAGGTGGGTAGTGGAGATGGTGATGGGAAGTGGAGATGGTGATGGGAAGTGGAGGGAGATGGGTAGTGGGGGGAGGTGGGTAGTGGAGGGAGATGGGTAGTGGAGATGGTGATGGGTAGTGGAGGGAGATGGGTAGTGGAGATGGTGATGGGTAGTGGAGATGGAGATGAGTAGTGGAGGGAGATGGGTATTGGAGGGAGATGGGTAGTGAAGATCGAGATGAGTAGTGGAGGGAGATGGGTAGTGGAGATGGTGATGGGTAGTGGAGATGGAGATGAGTAGTGGAGGGAGATGGGTATTGGAGGGAGATGGGTAGTGGAGATGGAGATGAGTAGTGGAGGGAGATGGGTAGTGGAGGGAGATGGGTAGTGGAGATGGTGATGGGTAGTGGAGATGGTGATGGGTAGTGGAGGGAGATAGTTAGTGGAGATGGTGATGGTTAGTGGAGATGGTGATGGGTAGTGGAGGGAGATGGGTAGTGGAGGGAAATGGGTAGTGGAGGGAGATGGGTAGTTGAGATGGAGATTGGTAGTGGAGAGGGAGATGGGGAGTGGAGATGGAGATGGGTAGTGGAGGGAGATGTGTAGTGGAGGGAGATGGAGATTGGTAGTGGAGATGGAGATGGGTAGTGGAGATGGAGATGGGTAGTGGAGGGAGATGGGTAGTGGAGGGAGATGGGTAGTGGAGATGGTGATGGTTAGTGGAGATGGTGATGGGTAGTGGAGGGAGATGGGTAGTGGAGGGAGATGGGTAGTGGAGGGAGATGGGTAGTTGAGATGGAGATGGATAGTGGAGATGGTGATGGGTAGTGGAGATGGAGATGGGTAGTGGAGATGGGGATGGGTAGTGGAGATGAAGATGGGTAGTGGAGGGAGATGGGTAGTGGAGGGAGATGGGTAGTGATGAGGGAGATGGGTAGTGGAGAGGGAGATGGTTAGTGCAGATGGAGATGGGTAGTTGAGATGGAGATGGGTAGTGGAGATAGATATGGGTAGTGGAGGGAGATGGGAAGTGGACATGGAGATGGGTAGTAGAGATGGAGATGGGTAGTGGAGGGAGATGGATAGTGGAGGGAGATGGGTAATGGAGATGGAGATGGGATGTGGAGATTGAGATGGGTAGTGGAGATGGAGATGGATAGTGGAGGGAGATGGGTAGTGGAGATGGTGATGGGTAGTGGAGATTGTGATGGGTAGTGGAGATGGAGATGGATAGTGGAGGGAGATGGGTAGTGGAGATGGAGATGGGTAGTGGAGATGGAGATGGGTAGTGGAGATGAGTAGTGATGATAGAGATGGGTAGTGGAGAGGGAGATGGGTAGTGAAGAGGGAGATGGGTAGTGGAGGGAGATGGGTAGTGGAGAGGGAGATGGGTAGTAGAGATGGAGATTGGTAGTGGAGATGGAGATGGGTAGTTGAGATGGAGATGGGTAGTGGAGATGGAGATGGGTAGTGGAGGGAGATGGGTAGTGGAGGGAGATGGTTAGTGGAGATGGAGATGGGTAGTGGAGATGGAGATGGGTAGTGGAGATGGAGATGGGTAGTGGAGGGAGATGGGTAGTAGAGATGGAGATTGGTAGTGGAGATGGAGATGGGTAGTGGAGAGGGAGATTGGTAGTGGAGGGAGATGGGTAGTAGAGATGGAGATTGGTAGTGGAGATGGAGATGGGTAGTGGAGATGGAGATGGGTAGTGGAGATGGAGATGGGTAGTGATGAGGGAGATGGGTAGTGGAGATGGAGATGGGTAGTGGAGGGAGATGGGTAGTGGAGATGGAGATGGGTAGTGGAGGGAGATGGGTAGTAGAGGGAGATGGTTGGTGGAGATGGAGATGGGTAGTAGAGGGAGATGGGTAGTGGAGGGAGATGGTTAGTGGAGATGGAGATGGGTAGTGGAGATGGAGATGGGTAGTGATGAGGGAGATGGGTAGTGGAGGGAGATGGGTAGTGGAGGGAGATGGTTAGTGGAGATGGAGATGGGTAGTGGAGGGAGATGGGTAGTAGAGATGGAGATGGGTAGTGATGAGGGAGATGGGTAGTGGAGGGAGATGGGTAGTGGAGGGAGATGGGTAGTGGAGGGAGATGGGTAGTGGAGGGAGATGGTTAGTGGAGATGGAGATGGGTAGTGGAGGGAGATGGGTAGTAGAGATGGAGATGGGTTGCGAAAGATGCTTAGAGGGAGTAATGGTTCTGATTGTAAGTGTTTATTATGAATATGGGGATAGACTTGTGACGGAAAAGTAAATGTAACAACATCATTCTATTATTTTCAGGGCATATGAACTTGAACGATCTCTCCAGCTTTGGTCTCCAAGGCAGCATAGCACCCAATGCCGAAGTTGTCCATGCTCGCTCTTAACTGAAGAAGATCACTACATCCCTTTATACAGAAACTCAGTAATGACCACTATGACAATACTGTAACAAGATACATATATGTGGTGTAGAACTGAATTGTAATGTAGTCATTTCTGACTGTCTGACTGAGAGAATTGTGTTTAACGCAATTTAAACAGGGTTTTTTTTCATGATGTGTCAGCTGTGGTGAAACCCATCAGACAACGGCAGTGTGTTCAGAAACAAAGGATCATAATCAAGGGGAATCGGGGGTTCCCTCTGATTATCGGATCCTGACACTCCCAAGGGACACGATTGCTGTGTCTTTGACAGCTTGGTTATAATCAAAGATAGTTTGGATGCATTTCTAGTCAATCCCTTAGATGCCTTACTGCGCTTTAGGATAATTTTCATATATACTTTTAAGAAGTTTGTCATCACATTAAGTAAAATGAAAGTATCAGGTATTCTTTTGAGTAGTTTATATCATATAATGTATTGCATCATAACCTATAATGTACATTTAAATCTTCTTATGCGTACCTTATTTACCACCGCCTGACATATTTTGAATTGATAATGGACTCTGACATGTCATTATGAAGCAGTGCACACAAAATAATTTTTATTTTAATATAAAAAGTCCAAGGCATATATTTCTCATCACTGTTGTGTTCTGAATGTATGAAAATAGGCAAATCGAAATATTTTGGACAGAAAAGCGCACCAGAAACCTATGATCATGGGTTTGAATCCAAGATCCGCCCCGATTGTTTCTTGTTTTGTCAGCACCATGACCATTCTTGTGGGTTTCACTAGTGTAGTAACATCAAAGACCCACATCACTCTGATAACACACCATGATGTAACTAAAATACTGTTCAAAGCCATGTGACACCAAACTGTCTCCCACACTATATTAGTACTCAAGTAATGAAAATACCTACCTGTGTCAGCCTAAATGGCTATCATTCAAATACTTCCAGTAGTTATCTAATGAGAAAATTATTTGTTCATGTCTGTTACGTTCATTTTACATCTGTTGAGACTGTTTCATCCAACTACAGTCAAGTCCCGTTAAGAAAGCAGCTTTCTTAGGCTTTGAGTGTACCAGTTTCAAACTGACAACTTCCATACCAGACTATGCTTTTAAAGTATTTTGAATAAGTCATACAGTCCATAACAGTTGTTTTGTGTTCAGCTTTAGAGGTTGCATGATTAGAAAGCATATTCCACTAACACTGTAACATAACCATATGAATATTTTATGTTTCACTTTTTTAATTGCGTGTTTGTATCGTTATCTATCGTGTAGTTGTCCGATTTTCGATCAAGAAATTAATTTCGCTTATCCGACATACTCGTTAATCCGTCATAATCATATGCAACCAACCATGTCAGATTAACAGGACTTGACTGTAGTAAACTCCAAGTTTGCCTTTATATCAATTTTCAAACATTTCTGCATACATATTTTTCAGAATGTAAATTGCATTCACAATCATTGAAACTGGTAACCATAATAATACTATTGTAGTCAAATAGTTTTTCCCGTTTTAAGGATCAGTTGCCCTAAATTTTGTCAAACATACTGAAAAGGAACACTCACTGTATTTTCTTGGAACAGAAATCATGTTGACAATGCTTTCTGTTACTAGGGGGCGGTCGGGTAGCCTAGTGGTTAAAGCGTTCGCTCGTCACGCCGAAGACCCAGGTTCGATTCCCGACATGGGTACAATGTGTGAAGCCCATTTCTGGTGTCCCCCGCCGTGATATTGCTGGAATATTGCTAAAAGCGGCGTAAAACCATACTCACTCACTCACTCACTTTCTGTTACTAGTTTTTTTTTAATAATTTGATGAAAAGCATAAAGCAGCCTTCTTATGAACCATTCCTTTGAAAGTAACATGTTCCTTCCAAACTCCCTTCATCATTTCTCCCTGTTTGGATCTGACAAATTGGTTTCAAAATCTGTAAAACAATATGTTAAAAAATAAAAAAGACTTGGATTTAGGAGACATCGGATTTATTTTTAGTTCTTCTCAATTCAGTCGATTTTAGAATATTTTTTTAACAACTTGAATACAAATATTCAAAATCTCATGCAAGACATGGGCAAAGACAAATGTTGCCGCAGGTGAAACGTACAGCGTCACATGATCTCCATACACCAGACACATGCTTGACAGATGCATGGAGAACACCCACTGCTTTCTGTATTATCAGAGATTGTTGATCCCCTCCCCACTTGGAAGTACAGACGGGATATCGAGATACTGTAAACATGAAGTGTCATAACCAGTCTTCATTATCCACCAAAACAGATTCCATTTGGCAAAATAGCTGTGAAAACTATATGAATGGACCACTGAAGATCAGTGATGACACCAGGTGTTCGCAAAAATGGTTAGCATGTCCTGCACTAAAAGTTGAACCCCCATGCAGACAATTTGCATAAAAAAATAAAAAAGACTTGGATTTAGGAGACATTGGATTTATTTTCAGCTCTTCTCAATTCAGTCGATTTTAGAATATTTTTTTAACAACTTGAATAGAAATACATGTATTTAAAACTTCACGTGAGACATGGTCAAAGGCAAATGTTGGCTCAGGTCAGCGATGACACCAGTTGTTCGCAAAAAAGGTAAGCATGTCTTGCCCTGTCGGTAGAACCACCATTCACAAAACTGGCCTAAAAAAGTAAGTATTTATTGTTGACGCCGCACAGCAGGACTCCTCCTGCCAAGCGACAGTGGCCTGTTGACAAACCAGACAATCAAGTGATCGATGGACCAGGAATCAAGATGGACAAGATGGATCATGAAATTAATGGGTCACTAAATTAATGAGAGTAGCCCTGCCTTTGAACTATAAAAGTTATCAGAAAACGATAACACCAAGACTGTAGACTTAGAATTCCATCAGGGGGTGATAGCAGTTAGTTTAAGTAATATCATCACAAACTTCAACTGCTTGACATGCGATCTAACATCCATGAAATCAAAAGCAGGAAATTACAAATTAGGCATATTCAAATGAGATAGGTCGGGTCACCGACGAAGACTGTACAGGTTCCAAGTGTTGATACAAGGGTTATCCTTTGAACATATACTCACTGCCAAAAGAAACTTGAACCACAGAAGTATATATGTTAAGAACAGATGTTTCCAATGTGTACCACTTAACGACAAAACTAACAATTAGTCAAATGTTACCACAGAGTGTCGTTATTCTTTTTACGATATGCTGCCAAGATTTCCAAACTTTACACGCTAACCTTGCACGAGACAAATAGTTCATCTTGAGTCATGGACCTATGACGTCACATGTGACTCTTCATGAGCGTCGATTCACACAACATACCAATATATTCATTTGTGTGTCGAACCAATCTAATAGCTCTTGAATTTGAGTAATTCTTCATACATTAACCAACATGTATGGTGTTCGTGTGTCTTTTGTCGGTGAGTATATATAATTATATGAGCAATGTTATGTATCCACCACGACTGCTGTCAGTACTGGACATGTTAACTACGTGAGTGCGCAATGTCTTGCTTGTAATTATAAGATTGTTTGGCAGGGTTACCAAGAACAAAGACACCATTATAGACAATTGGCAACTTTTGACTTGATCGACATGTGTAAATAAACTGACCACTTTCAATGTGGAACTTGGTAATAAGCACTGTCTACAGAGGTTATTGGGGGCTGTGTTATGTATGTCCAGCTTGTGCAGTGAATCTGACCTGACAATAAACTCCAATATGTCCAGATGCAAAGACACTCGCATTTTTCACATAACTCCACGTTCACATTAATTTCATGATTGATAGTACACATGAATAGCATCCTCGTCACTACGGTATCCTGCCTATAGGTGCTGTATGATTCAGATATATTATCCCAATACACATCAGCTAATAGAGACAGACTCCAACAATACAGAACACACAAATTCACGATTACAGTAAAACCATGTTAATCTGTTTGCAGTGAAATCATTTGGAATCTGGGTTTGCGTTTTGCAAGTTCTGGATTAATTGTACATGGAATAATTGACAAGTTACACTAAAATTGGCAAAAGGGATAAAATACAGGTAAATCTGTAAAAAGAGGTGACAAGTAGTCAAATACATCAAATTGCGAGTAATACTGATACAGTAATAATATTTTCTCTCGGCAGACACAAACATCTGGTTAGAAATGAGACTGAGAGATAAAAACCCAATCAAACCTTTCTGCAAAGACCAAATATTTCAGGAGTTTGAAACAATCCTCACAGTCCTGTAACCTCACTGAGAAGGTTTCTGGGTTTGAAGGCCATGACACTTTGTAGATCTTCCATTCTGCTTCAACACCAGGATCTGAGAACATCTGAGGCCAGGATCTGAGGCCAGGGCCCTGTTCCACAAAGCGATCTTAGCGCTAAGGCAATCGTAACTCCCTTGTTTCAACATAGACAAATGATAGTCGTGGCGCTAAGATCACTTAGTGGAACAGGGCCCTGGCCCCGCTCCACTAAGTCAACTTAGCACTAAGATGATTGTTGCTTACTTAAACACTGATTTACGACAGTTCAAGAGTTCTGACATTGCTTTGTGGATGTGGCCCCGGCGACATTCCACTAAGTCACTGCAGGACTATGCCTACTGAAGGCCTGTCTCTGTTAACGTAGGGGACTTACAATAATCATGGCACTAAGATCACTGAGTGGAGCAGGACACTGGATCCCTCATAAAACTGTTGTAGGGTTGTACAGGCAATAATCTTAGTACTATGAAATACTGCATTACCATGCTGACAAACTTTCCAAAAGAAGTCTCTCTCAATATTTGTACCTTCTTCAAAGACCTACCACACACAGACATCAAAAGATAGAAAATTTCTAAAGACAAATATTGAGAGTGATTAAAAAGCATAGAAAATATTCAGCTCTTTGCCAGAGTTGTAAAATGAATTGTTCGGTTATAATACATTGTTGCCAAATTATTAAAAAGAATTTTTTACCAATTGAGATGTTTTATAATTATTTGGAGTGCTAGTTTAAGAAACATTCTGTGAAAGCTTCACGATCATGTAAGGCTATTTGACAAACCGCCTATGTCTTCACCCTTCAACCTTCAACCTTCTCCTCGAAAAAATAAACTTAAGTGGGTTTCGAACGTGAGAATTCCTAACAGGTCAAACAGACATATGGGGGTGTCGCTCTGATGACGTCAACATGCCCCAGTCTTCTGGCAACAATGATTACGCTTAGCCCTAAGGTAATACTCACTATCTAAAGTTGATAGATGTGTGCAAACAAACATATGTAAATACATGTATATGTAAAATTGAAGATTTATCCTCAAAGATTGTAAAACAAATTTAATCAATTCAAAAATGTTTCTTTGAAAAGTAGTTCCCAACTCAATAATACTGTTGATATCAAATAGTCAAATATGAAGTTACATTGAATCTGAGTATAAATAGCCATGCTATGGAGAGACTTTGTTTCTCACTGAGAAAGTCTATGCATGCTTGAGACTAGGTCATTGAAATAAGGAATCTGACATCCCTTCTGAATGATTAGAGACCCATCTAAAGATTTACAAATTAAAACCATGGAATCATTTAATACCAATTCTTCACAAAATACAAATGGGCAAGCAGGGTGACACCACATTTCTTTCTAAGAATGTGAAATAAAAATTATTTAAATCTATAATCCCCTTAATTTTTACAATAAAAACAAGAACATCGTCTTGGGGGCATTCTATTAATACCAGTCCGACACAACACAGTGGATTAGTGTCTGACACGATGCCAAACCATACCCTTTGTAATGCTTGAGACACAAGTCCATTATTTGAAATAAACAATTAACAAAAAACGATTTGTTTACTGCATTAGATAAAACATAAAAATGAAAACAAATACAGAAATTAGGATTCAGAATATGTTCACACAGCTGATGACAGGCAATGATGTCACATGAGTTGATTGTAAGTACAAATGATGTCTGATGGAGATAATAGCCTCATCAGAACAATGTGAATTCCCTGTTTGTCAGCGCCATTGTATTGACAAATCTGAAAAACAGAACAAAAAAGCATGCAAGTATGTGTTTTGAAATTATCAAATATTTTATTATTTAATTTTAGGTAAGATTTAGGATGAGGGTAGGTGTGGTGTGAAGAGAGGTGTCAGGTATAGTTCGGAGTGAGTGAGTTTGGTTTTACGCCGCTTTTAGCAATATTCCAGCAATATTCCAGCAATATCACGGGCGAGGAACACCAGAAATGGGCTTCACACATTGTACCCATGTCGGAAATGGAACCCGGGTCTTCGGTGTGACGAGCGAACGCTTCAACCACTAGGCTACCCGACCGCCCCGGTATAGTTTGGAAAAGGAGACAAGTAGGATAATGTGGATTGAAACAGGGACAGGATCGAAGGTTGGGTGAGTGAGTGAGTCGGGATTAATGCCGCTTTTAACAGTATTCCAGTTATATCACGGCGTGTCAGCTTAATGTGGGAGGAAAGACCGAAGTGATGCAGGTCTCAGACATTTACCACTTCGGGGAAACCCACAAGCACGGGTATGGTGCTGACAAACCTAGAAACATAACCGGAGCGAACCTGGATTCGAACCCACAATCATAGGTTTCTGACGTGCACAGCAAATCGTGGCGCCTTAGACGACTGGGCCACCCGTGCCCCCTCAAAGGTTGAGTTACAGGTTTCAATGGGAAAAGTTTAGGGATTGGGCAGAGCTTGAGATAAGCAGTGTATTTGCGTAAAATAAGCATAAAATATACTGAAATACGCAGAAAAGTCGAATCCTAGCGTATCAAATACACAACAAAAACTATAAATACGCTTTTAAATCATTTTTGGTTGTAATCATGGTTGTAATATATGTAGTAGTTACATTTAAATTAAATGTAACTAATACATATATTACAACCATTAGATAAAACAGTTACATTTTGAAAAGCTCGAATACCGATAGAGTCCAATTGAAAAGCACATCGTGCCACGTCAATATATCTTGAACAGTCGCCGATTTAAAAAATAGTGCCTTTCTTACAGTGCTTAGTTTTGCAAACAAAAATAGCTTCCCGGACAGGGAGCCGCAAGCAGATGCAGATGGGTATAGAACTATTCCTTCAGTTCTAAATAATTTACAGGAATTGTTACGAAACAGGTTAAAATACTCAAATGTCAAGGAACAGGTGGGTAAAGAAAATTGAAACCCTCTAAAATTGTGGATACCCAATCAAAATCAAACCCCTGTGTAAAATACCCAAATAACCAAAAGCTTATCAAGAGCTCTGGTAGGGTATAAACATTCTTGACACTCTGGCCCATTTTGGGATTCATCAACCTAAAATGACACAAATGTGGAAAAAATATGAAGTTTACGGGGGTAAATACGAAGGGAGGTAACTCTTGTCATTGCCATTCAAAGGAACACTCCAAGCAGCATGGTTCATTCATATTGTATTGTATTGTATTGTATTGTATTGTATTGTATTGTATTGTACGTAATAAGAGCCCAGGGCGCTCTCAAATTAGAAATAGGGGGCTTTTACTAGCATATTATTTTGCTGAAAAAAATGTTGAAAGATGAATTTTGTGGTTTATGCTGACAGCCTGAAATGTTTATATATGACAGATATATTTTTCCAGAATTTAATTGCCCATAATTAAGGGTGCATATAACACTTGAGTGTGTATTATACACGAATAAATAAGTCTTGTGTACATTGATCAGTCGGAAGGGGTGCTAATTCGGATTGTTCACAAGCCAATATATTAGCAAATATCGCCGTGGGTGCTTATTAGAGCGGGGCGCTTATTACGTCGAATACTGTACTTTAATATGTTTTAGTAATTTTATTATTATTTGGACAAACTCATATGAAAATATCTGTAACCTATGTCATAATAAATAGGCCTCAAGTGTAAATCTTGTCTTCTTGTCGACCAAATAGCCCCAGAGATGTACAAGTGAGTGAGTGAGTGAGTATGGTTTTACACCGCTTTTAGCAATATTCCAGCAATATCACGGCGGGGGACACCAGAAATGAGCTTCACCAGAGATGTACAAAGAGGAGAGGGTCTAGGGCTGGGACGGGTAACTTGGGTACCAGGGTCAGGTGGGTCCTGAGTAGGATCCGGGTACCCACAGTACTCCCTGGACCCATGATTAGTCACGTGATTAGTCACGTGATACATAGTTTAATGACAAAAATTCACTATAGCTCAGTGGTTACACTACAAGTCACTAATGTTTGCATTTCTTTCTGATGATGTAAACATTCCTTTTGACTTGTATATGTTTGTGTAAAGATAAAGCTTCAGTCAACTTCAGTGTATGTATGATGTAATCGTTAGATACATGTATCTAAATAGTTTTTGCCAGGGACAATTCCCAATCAGACATGTTGTTCCCAAGTCTTGAGACCCACAGTGGGTACCTGGGTAGGGTCGGGTAATAGGGGGTCGCGTACCCGGGTAGTAAATTTGAACTCGTCCCGGCTCTAAAAGGGTCGTACTAAAAACATGTATGTCATATCTGGTCTACAGTTTCAGATTTAAGACAAGGAACACATGCAATTTCCCTCTTATCAAGCTGTTACCATAGAAACAGTATATATACGGAAGTACAAACATACTGATACAAGTTGAAGTAGGTCTCTTCACAGAAGATCGGGTACAAAAGTTACAGTAATTTAATTTGTCGATCTAAAGAAGAGTGAGTGAGTGAGTTGGGTTTAATGCCGCTTTTAACAGTATTCCAGTTATATCGCGGCGTGTCAGCTTAATGTGGGAGGAAAGCCCGAAGTGATGCAGGTCTCAGAAGTTTACCACTTTGGTGAAACCCACGAGCACGGGTATGGTGCTGACAAACCTAGAAACATAATTGGGGCAAACCGGGATTCGAACCGACAATCATAGGTTTCTGGCGTGCCCAAGGGACACAACTCTGCACAACGAATCGCAGCGCCTTAGACGACTGGGCCACCCCTGATCTAAAGAAGAACTACTGACAGGAAACATATCAATCACAAATTTCTGTGATAAATGAATTATAAGACTTTCTTCCCCACCTGCCCATCTTTCATCATGTTGCTGTATGCAATCACTTCTTTCTTTACTTGACGAAATCCATGATACATTAACCCTACCAAGCATTCACACTTCATGTGATCCTCATCCATTGACAGTAAAAATCCAGATGTCCTCAACAGTTTCTTTTAAATATTTTAAAGAACAAAATATCTCACTTTTTTTTTTAACTGGGATGAAATTCAAATAATTACTTTATCATGACCTTAGAATAGTCTATTTTTCTGCCCTTTCTTTGTTTTAAAAACAAATATCTTTAAAAACAAACTGCCTCCGACCATACAATAATTTGGATTAAAATATAACAATTAATTTATTGTGGCCTTAGGTGAGTATTTTTTCTTCCCATCAAGACTGTTAACTAATTATAATAAAACACACTCTTCCTTTCATTCCATTTCCCTAAACAACAGTACCAAAGAAAACACTTTCAGAAAAATATGATTTCAAAATTTGTTTCTTTGGTTAGATACAAAAATTGGCAAATACATGTATATAAAAAAGAAAGGCATTTGTGGGGTAGAATGAGCGTGAGATCTATGAGCTTGAGGAGGTCAATCTATTATTATAATATATTAATGTTTGTGGTATTTTGGCCTCATGGGGATGCTTGTGAAACTGAATGTTATCAATTTGGGGAGGCAACATTTTCTGTTTCTGTTGAGATTCAGTAGACGCTCATAGCATTGTGTTTGGACAGTGATAAGTTGTCAGGTGAGGTGAGGTGAAATTGGGCTTAACGTTGCGTCCAAGATTATTGCACTTATATAGCGACGTGCATGCACATGTATGTGTGTGTGTGGCTGCTTGTACTAGTCCGGACTGATGCCAGTGTATAGTGCTAGCTCACTGAGATACCATGCCGCAGTTTAACATGAATACCCCACTCAGACACAGTATACTGACTCCAAGCCAACCAGTCCTTGTTTTAGCCCCTTAATGCTGAGCGCCAGACAGGGTAACAACAAGTACCACCTTTTAACGTCTTTTGGCATGACGCGGCCGGGGATCGAATTCCGGACCTTCCGCTCTCCGGGCGGACGCTCTACCACAAGACCACGGAGGCGGTCTGATAAGTTGTCAGGAATATAGTACTATTTTATGTAAGCAGTTTTGAGGAAGTTACTATATTAAGATGCTCGTGTGATATGTAAACTTTCGGAATACTGTGGACTGATGTTGAATATTCTGTAATGTTCTAGTGACGCTAGACTGGTGAGGGCACTGTGCAGAAATTTCGGCCAGTAGCTAGTTAGACTGTATAAAAAGGGACAAGAGCATGCCTCTCGAATCTCTCACACTTTTCGCCTCTCACAGATTTCATTACATCAACACCAGCTTTGGTGTGAAGATCACCCATAAACCCGTATTCCCTGTCAAGGCCATTCTCGGAAGCTTGACCACTATTATCACTGACTTTTGCTATTACCACCGACTTTTGTATTTCATTCTGACGACTGCCATCATATCATGTACTGTCATTGAATATTGTACAACCACTCTATTGTGTACCGCCATTGTAATTGCTGTGCAGTAATTTGTATTAATTTGTTAACCTAGTTAATTTTGTAATACATTTGTTGATTGTATACTACTTAAATTGTTTACTGGTTTCACACTAAATTCTTTTACGTACAGATTGTGTTAACATATTATTTCAATTCGGGAATCGACACATAACAATTAATAATAATCATAATAGACATGTAAGTAACATAAAAACATTTTCATAAGTTCAAGTAGTTTCATGTACCTGGTCATTTCACTGTTGACATGTGCATGACGAGGAGTGTAGGTCCAGGGCTCCCGGGCTGTGAGAGGTCTGGGGAGAACATACCAGCCTGTCTGGATAGACGTGCTCACTGGGAAGCGGTAGATATCATGAGGACCTGAAACATACATCAGTCATTCATAATTAATGCTGTCAATTTCAACATTTCTAATTAAGGAACTGGACAATGAGGTTTACTGCTTTTAAGTAACTTACTCAACATAAGAAATGGAATTTTACCTTGTGGCAATATAATTTCATTTTATAATACATACTGGTTTTTATTTTCTAAAATTGTACTTGTAGATTGCCATTGTATTATCAGTTTTAGTGGGGAGTTTAAAATCTGACATGCCCCCCAAAATATTTTAATTTTTTACATAGTAATGATTCAGTGAAATAGCAAATGACGTTGTTTTCCCATTTGGTTATTTCTATTAGACCCTGGTTTAGGGGGTTAAAACGGCACATGCATTTTTCATTTATTTTTTAAAAAAGGAGTAAAATAATTTATATAAAAGTTTCATACCTTTGGGGTTTCGGATGTGCTTAGTCCTCATCCTTGTGAATTCAACATACGACCCCTGTGGCCCCGGAGCATAGCTGGATACTTGGTTAATGGGGACGATGGAACGAAGGCCTGGGTTTTTCTCAGTGAGAGGAGGCAGCGCCTTGAATCCCAGCTGTGTTTTTGACCTCCGTGGATCAAGTTTTGATTGCACGGAACTCTCTCTTATAGTGCTTTGATAACCAAGTTGTGTCAATCCAAAAAACGCCATGATCTGCGACTTGCAATATACCTACTCCTACAGCAGACGATAATACTCGGTCGGGTCTATGGGCTTTCTTATTTCGACGTTCATTCAACTGACGCAGTTGCCAAGGCGGCCGCCATTTGTTTACATTGGTAATCAAGAAATCGTGCTTTCCCCACAGCATATTCAATACTTCTTCGTACACGTGCAACACAGGAAAAGGTTTTATGTAGCAAGACAAATTATCGTGACAAATAAGACATTAGTCCGGACTATAATAATACTTCACAATTAAGTATCAATGTGAATTGGTTTACCATAGCCACTGGTTAATTATTTGAAATCGTAGATAACACCCGCGCAGGAACGGTTTTCGTCCAATCATTCTCTAACTTAGCAAATTGTGATATATGCTTTTATGGGAATGGGTTCTTTAGGGTAACAACTGTATCAGACAAAAAAATGGATGGAAAACATATTAAAATGAAATGAATCCAAGAGATGTCATTTTAATACATTTTCAATGATAAATAGTGCGTGATGTTAATACATAAATAGTCGGGATTACCCTTACAGGTATGTTATATTACTGTCATTTCATGACAGTTGTCAGTGATATCAGATCGTAGATAAGCCTTAGAAAGGCTTACGTTGTTAAGGTTCCAGCTGTGTTATCTTATTACTATTGTTGTTTTTTCACATGTATATTTTACATATATGCTGTCTGCGTCCTAGCATTCATTCGCCTGACGAAGGAGAAAGTATATACTCCGAAATGTTGTGTTCCTCACAACAGAGACGTTGATATCCATAAATTCTCTCTCGTAGATCGCAGGGAGTTTCATACTAACGGGTTTAGGTTTTTTTACTCTGATTATATTTAATTCATTTGTATGTCTTCCAGTCTTTTTCTCAACAGCTAAACTCACATAGTATACATATTGATGAAATTCGTCACTGGCATCCTGGGTTTCCATGTCCGAGATCTAATACTGGCTCTGCTCGGAAAGATGCCTGTGTTGATAAGCCCTAATGACAGGGTATGAAACTCCCCAAAATTTCAGCCAGACCACAGGACTGGCTAGCTGAAATACTTGCCAGCCCTGACCAAAACCTGCCTGTCCACTATATTCATATGTTTCTCATGATAAGCTAACGGGGTTTCTTTTTGGTTACATTTTATCATTCATCTTTACATTTGAATTAATGCTTATCATTGGGAAATATTTAGAATATTTTCACATATGAAATATAACCTGACCGTCGGGCAGGGGGATTTGAAAATCTGGCAGCCCGAGTTGAAATCAACCCGTCTCGGACGGTCGGGCAGGCAGGTATTTCGAACACTGCTAATGACAATCAGGTGGTTTGCGTATGTCACGATAATTATCACTGATCCTTTCAGTATATCGAAGCGGATTAAATGGTGCAGTCATTCACACTTGATGTTTTAACTGATTGGAATCGACGGGCAGACATTTCAGGACTTGTTGTGGAGTGCCCACTGCCCAGCCATTATTTAAAAAAAATGTATATCCTATTTATGCTTATAAAACATCAACATCATATGTTATTGCTACGGAAGCCCATTAGGGCCACACACTCTTTTTAAAATTGTTTTTTGTCTTGAAAATTCATTTTTTAATCAGGCAACAGTGTCAGCTCAAAGCAGAGAGTGAAACATTGGGAGGTTTATTTGCTGATTCCAGTACATCTTGAATTTTCACTGGACATTTTATCAGGCACCATCACAGATTCATATTGTCTCACGACCTTTTCGTCAGATTATAGTTTCTTTTATTAATAATATTCAACATAATATGCTATTGTGTTATGTACGTTATTGATAAAATGGGGTTTACCGTCGCGTCCAGGGTTATTGCACTTATTGTGTGTGGCTGCTTTTGCTAGTCCGGACTAATGTCGATTTTATAGTGCTAGCCCACTGACATACCATGCCGCAGTTTAACATGGATACCCAACACAGACACAGTATACCGGTTCGATTCCCGACATGGGTACAATGTGTGAAGCCCATTTCTGGTGTCCCCCGCCGTGATATTGCGGGAATATTGCTAAAAGCGGCGTAAAACAATACTCACTCACTCACTCACTCACTCACAGCATACCGACTCCCAGCCGACACGTCCCCTTTTTAGCCCCTTAATGCCGCGCTTCAGGCAGGGTAATGCAACAAATACCATCCAAAGGCGGATCAAGCGAGGGGCGGGATGTGTGACCCCACTCTTTCGCTGTCATTTCTTTCAGGATATCGACCACTAGCAACTGAAACAGTTTTTGGATCAAGAACAATTTCTTTTACATACTACACTTCTTCTTGATTATGATTACGATTATTATGCAAATGTTTATACATTTTTGCTGAACGTTTGGCAATGTGTGTTCTATACTTTTTCCTTTCAGACAGTTGGTGTGTACAAGGTTCGTTGTAATATGTCTAAATACTGACATTTCGTTAACCGAAATCAATTCTCGTTTCAACTGTTTTAATGCATGTCTGCATAATAACGTTATCATTTAAATACATACCTACTGCAGCTATAAAAGGCGATGGGGTAGCCTATTGATTAAAGTGTTCGCTGAACACACCGAAGGCCCGGGTTTGATTCCCCCCATGGGTACAATGAAGCCTATTTTGGGTGCCCCCCGCCTTGACATTGCTGAAATTTTAATTAAAAGGGTGTAAAATAATAATCACTCACCCGCGCAGCTACAAACTTAATGTATGTTAACAGTTGTGCCGAAGATAGTACTTGAGAGTATCTCGGCGCTTTTCTCGTTCTAAACGAGAGTTTGTCCTCCATGTTGATTTCGGGAAGAATCTAGAAGCGTGAGATATCCATGTGTTAGTAATCCATCCCGAATCTACACCTTGTCGTTGCATCCTTGACTGTCGCCAGTCAAAATGAACAGAGGAGGGTCGATAGCGTTTGATGAATATGGACGGCCATTCATTATCTTGAAAGATGAAGAATCCAAGAGCCGGTTATCCGGTATTGAGGCTCACAAGGTACTTGCTCTGAAAGTTTATTTTGCCTAGACATGTATAGTCATGAACGACAAGAGAGTCAGTGGAATGATTGTAATTGTTACTTGAACACATTTTGCAGTATGTGAACAGCATCTTAACTTTTCGTCACTGGTCCTAACTATTTATTTCATTGTCAGAGAAGTCTCTGAACATATCTTCTGCTTAAGGAGTCATCTAGAAATAAGAATAGATGTATATACTACTGCATAAATTTCTCAACTGTGGTATTCAAGACCAAGACAGCTCCACAGAATGCAATGAAATATGGAACTGCAGTACCCTTTTGTGCATTAAAACTTTTGAGTTTTGTGCGTCAGTTACACTTTCAGACCAGGAGCAGGTGATACTTCCAGTAGATTCTTTTTGTTTGTGCTTTGCATTGCTTCAAACTACCATTACACCATGTGGGAATTCCGGTTAGAATAGGTACCCAGCAACCTGTGCGTGTTAGTTGTAAGAGATGACTTAATGGATTGGGTAAAATTGCATGACATCCTACCCCTATGGTGTGGTTTGTTGGTCATAATATCAATCGCAGACTTGTCTGGTCAACTTGATTATTTACAGGATATCCTAAGGGGCTGGAATATTGCTGACTGTGACATTAAACATGTTAAACAACGTTCTTGATAACCATGATAACATTTTGTGTTGGTCCCAAATAATTTATTAAGAAGTGTATCACATTTTGCTTACGGTCTGTGTCGCTGATCAATTATGGTCTTTTTCTTTTTGCAGTCTCACATTTTGGCAGCAAAATCAGTTGCAAACATCCTGAAGACTTCTCTGGGCCCAAAGGGTCTGGACAAAATGATGCAGTCTCCAGATGGGGACCTCACAATCACAAATGATGGAGCCACCATTTTAGACATGATGGATGTTGACCATCAAATTGCAAAGTTGATGGTACAATTATCCAAGTCACAAGATGATGAAATTGGAGATGGAACCACCGGGGTTGTTGGTATGTCTGTTATGGATGAATTATTTACTTTGAATGAACATGTTTGAGACAGATTTCCCACCAACTGAAAAGTTATGTCTATGCATCAGTGGGAAAGAATTCTGCCTGTAACATCTGCTTCCAAATTTGCCTGTGTTAAGGCAGATGATTTTTGTCCCCTGCCAAGAAGCGGTGAGGGGGATATAGGAACAGTTTGTCGCCTGTCTTTCCGCTTCTGGAAGGGGACATGTTTTGTCAAATATTATTTTAAGTTAGGGAAATGACATTTTACACTGACTCTAATCTTAATCTTAATGGTCATGATCTTAAATGAGTTTCGAAAATTTGTGTTGTAAATTCATTTTTACAGAGTTATGGCCCCTGCTCCGCGCTCATCAACTTTGTGCATATTGCGTGAAGTGGGGACAAGTTTCTTCAGAAACTACTGAAATTAGATTAATGAAAGGTTGCATGCTTATGAGATACTTGTCAAGACTTGAGTTATTTTTTTACATTGCCCTTATTCCATGCTTTTCAACATTGTGCATAGTATCTGCAATGTGGACAAGTTTTCACAGGAACTATTGACGTTAATTGAATGAAACTTGGCAAGATTTCTAAGAGACTCTTGCTACATGTATTTAGATTTTGAGCATACAGTTACAGCATTTGATCAGTGTTATTTTGCAAAGTGCATAGTGTCTGCAATGGGTACAAGTTTTCTCAGAAACTACTGAAATAAGCTTATTTAAGAGATGCTTGTCAAGACTGATCGAGAACTGGTGTCATATTAATTTTTTCAAAGAAATGGCCTTTTGTGTGTAGTTATTTCACATTTAACCATCTTTTCTGATGACAAAGCGACCATAGTGCCGATCCGGTTACAAGTTATGGGAGGATCACTTACCACAGAAATATTGTGAATATCCGACCAAACAAAAATTTAATATGTCTAAAACTTATTGTAAATAAATTAAAAATCTAGCTATCTGTCTATCAAGCGATGGCACTTCGTAGTACATTGTCAGAACAATAAGATCTGTGTACATCACGTCCATTGTAATACAGATGTAACTGTGGGCCGATGACCTACACTTACAAAATAAACCAAATTGAATAATGCCGATCTCTTAAGTCTTTTTTGGACTATTATTTTTTTATAGTATACATTCACTACTACATGAACAAACACTTCTAATATGCCCCAAGGTGGGGGATAGTGTTAATAGTTTTGTTCTTAATACTTCTAGCCAGGGGTTATGATTTTAAAGTATTGAGGCAGGGTTAATGGGCAAAAGCTTTACCCATCAGTGTGCATGATAAAGTGTTATGCAGGCTACTTCCAAACCTCCCATATTATCAGCATTATGTAAGAATTTTCCCGTATGTTGTTCAGAGAATTGTGAAAATTTGTATATTTATTTGTTGCAGTGCTAGCAGGTGCTCTGTTGGAGCAGGCTGAGCAACTTCTAGACCGAGGCATTCATCCGATCCGTGTTGCTGATGGTTATGAGATGGCAGCTAATGTGGCAGTAGAGGAACTGAATAGGATAAGCGAGACATTCGGTGTGAATCTCAAAGAATCGGAACCACTTGTCAAACTGGCAATGACAACACTTGGCTCAAAAATGTAATTATTTAGGGATTAAAAACAGACAAGTAGCTTGAACGGTTTGTTTACTCCAATTGTCTATGAGCAACGGTCTGTAACATTAGCTACTTATTCGCTTCTTCCCAAGGCAAGGGAGTTAACTGACTGTACAAGTCTGGTTCCAATGTGTGATATGGTTGTTTTGTGTCATACCACTTTTTCCTGTGAATTGTTGCTTCTGCTATCGACCACTGGTTTGCTTGACCCATTTAATTATGACAGGATGCTGTGTTATAGCTGAAATATGACAAGTAAAATTTCAGACTACCTGCAAATTTTCTTTAGTAAAAACTGGTAACGTACTGCCAGTAATAGTAATAGTTTCCTTATTCTTTCCTAGTGTAAACCGATGCCACCGGCAGATGGCAGAAATTGCAGTGAATGCAATCATGTCTGTTGCCGACCTGGACAGAAAGGATGTGGACTTCGAGCTGATCAAAATTGAGAGCAAAGTTGGAGGAAAGCTGGAGGACACTATGCTGGTCAAGGGAGTCATAGTGGACAAGGATATGAGCCATCCCCAGATGCCCAAGGTAGGTTTTGTCTTACCATGATGATTTATGAAAAAAACCTAGAAACTCACCCTTTTTAGTCGACAAATCCTTATAATGATAACATATAGCAAACCCCTTAAAAATGGCAACGTTCTACTCATCCTTATGATACCTTAATTATTGGCGAGTTTGGCAAGGGCTATAGGACCAGTGCCAATTTCTGTGGTTGATGAGTATCGATTTACAGAGCAAAGCCAGGGGCACGGGTGGCCCAGTTGTCTAAGGCGCCGCAAGAGTTGCGGAGTTACGTCCCTTGGGCACGCCAGAAAACTATGATTGTGGGTTCGAATCCCGGTTTGCCCCGATTATGTTTCTAGGTTTGTCAGCATCATACCCGTGCTCGTGGGTTTCACCGAAGTGGTAAACGTCTGAGACCTACATCACTTCGGGCTTTCCTCCCACATTAAGCTGACACGCCGTGATATAACTGGAATACTGTTAAAATCGGCGTAAAACCAAACTCACTCAATTATAATGATAACATATAGCAAACCCCTTAAAAATGGCAACGTTCTACTCATCCTTATGATACTTTAATTATTGGGGAGTTTGGCAAGGGCTATAGGACCAGTGCCAATTTCTGTTGTTGATGAGTATCCATCTACAGAGCAAAGCCCTAGGTAGGCATTGGTAAAAGGTAAGATGTTTAGAAATGTAAAAAAATTCAAATGAGATTTGAAACTTCAAATTATTACATGGGTGGTTGTGTCCAAGGCATGTCAAATTTCTGCCAGTTTCACCATTAACTGAGTGGACCAGACAACATGCCAGAGGAAATCATCCCGAACCATTGTCAGACTTACTCAATGAGTCTCACACACTGATAAGGATGAGACATTTACGTTGTATCAATAAACAATTTCTATTCAAGTTCCAAATTCCTTTAATAGTGGTAGAAACTAAAAAAAATTGTCCACTAGTCCTTATAATATCATATAGCAAAACCCTTAAAAAGGGCAAATTTCTACAAGTCCTTATGATACCTTAACTATTGATCAGTTTGGCAAGGACTACAGGACTACAGCCAATTTCTAACGCTACTTTAAGCTATTACAAGATTAACATGATTAATGCACTTCCCGTGCCACACAGACCACATTAATGACCCTCTTCAGCAACCTATGCTTGCCATAAAAGGCGACTATGCTTGTCGTAAGAGACGACTAACGGATTCAGGGTGGCCAGGCTCGCTGACTTGGTTGATGCATGTCATCGTATCCCAATTGCATGGATCTATACTCATGTCAATCACTGGATTGTGTGGTGGTTCAGACTCAATCATTTACGGCTTTAAACAAACAAATTTAACGTTTATGATGTTGGAGACGCTCTCTTTCTCCAATCTGATTAAAATCAGATCTTAGTCATCACTTCCGCTAAACAAAGAGTTTTGCTATGTTATAAGGACTAGTGGGCTAAAGCTGTTTCTATCACTGTATAACTAGAGGTGGTCACTGACACTTCTGGGGCAGGTACTTGATGAGATATTGTATAAGTGCGTCAGTCAATCTGTAGCCAAGAAAAATCAGCACTGCTAATACCTACAATATAACAAGCCAATGAACATGAAGAAAACCATTTAAATCAGTCAAAATGACGTTTTTATTCTTCTTGAAAGTTACTTCATACAATTAGAAAAACAGGGCAGGGATCAAAGAAATTAAAATTTAAAGTTGTCCCCAAAGTGAAGAGCAGGTAAATATATTACCATATTCCACGTAATAAGCGCCAACGGCGATAATTGCTAACATATTGGCTTGTGAACAATCCCAATTAGCACCCCTTCCGATTGATCAATGTACGCAAGACTTATTTATTTGCGTATAATGCGCACTCATGTGTTATTTGCCCCCCTAATTATGGGCAATTAAATTCTGGAAAAAGATATGTCGTATATAAACATTTCAGGCTGTCAGCATAAACCACGAAATTTATCTTTCAACTCTTTCCACCAAAATAATATTCTAATAAGAGCCCCCTATTTCTAATTTTGAGAGCACCTTATTTCTAATTTTGAGAGCACCTTATTTCTAATTTTGAGAGCGCCCTGGGCGCTTATTATGTCAAAATTAAGTCCCAAAACAGTGGCCATCAAGGACAACTTGATTTCTACACATATCTATGAAAGAACTGATGAGCTGTTGACTAGTGGTATTTAGCTGGTATCCTGAATTGGTTGCATATTATCTTTGTAAGTTTGTACATCTATTAAACTTGGGTTTTTTAAACTGTTGACATTATATATATTGGCATGTCAAATTTCTGCCAGTTTTACCATTAACTGAGTGGACCAGACAACATGCCAGAGGAAATCATCCCGAACCATTGTCAGACTTACTCAATGAGTCTCACACACTGATAAGGATGAGACATTGCTAATAGTTATGTGTTCGTGTACAGTACACATTAAACGATAATGTATGAAATGCTGATGGTTTGTGAACATGTTCGTCCAGATGGTCAAGGATGCCAAGATCGCCATTTTGACCTGTCCCTTTGAGCCCCCAAAGCCCAAGACTAAGCACAAGCTTGATGTCAAGTCCGTAGAAGACTACAAGAGGCTTAGGGAATATGAAGTAAAGAAGTTTGAAGATATGGTTCAGTCTGTAAGTATCCGATATCTGTATGGGGGCGGTGGGGTAGCCTAGTGGTTTAATTGTCCATCCAGCTGAAGGCTGTACAATGTGTGAAGCCCATTTCTGGTGTCCCTCACCGGGATATTGCTGGAATATTGCAAAAAGTGGCATAAAACCACACTCGCTCGATGTATGGGTGGTGGAGTAGCCAAGTTGTAAAAGCATTTGCTCATCACACTCAAGGCCCAGGTTGTATATCCCCACTTGGGTACAGTGTGGACACATTTCTTGTCACCAGTCGTGATATTGCTGAAAAACTTGCCGATATGTCAGTAATAACTCTGGGTATTTTGGTGTTGCGCTAGGATGTTTTGATATATTTCTGTTTTCCCAATGATGAAATTTGGAATTACCGATTGATTACGAATGAAACTAACCGAGCGGCAATATTTTCTGAGGGAATGGTAATGTTGACCTCTACAAATTTGTACGATAGACCTGGGATGGTATTCATATGAAGTTACTGCTTGTAGGTTAAGGACAAGGGAGCTAATCTAGTCATCTGCCAGTGGGGCTTTGATGATGAAGCCAACCACCTGTTGCTGCAGAAGAAGTTACCAGCTGTTCGTTGGGTCGGTGGGCCTGAAATCGAGGTAATTATTACTCTCCATTCCCTGATAGAAACTAGAGATGGTGCTAATTTCATGCAATTGAGAACCAAATTTGAAATTTTAAAGTTGGTGTTACACAATGAATTCTCCAAGACACATTTGTTTGCAGGTTGAGTTATAAACATGTTCACATTGAAAACATCAGTAGCCCCTTGATTGAGTTTCTCTGTGATGAAAATTGGAATTACCGTTTGATAATAAATGAAACCACCCTAGCGGCATTTATTTCTGAGAGAAACATGAGGCCAGCCTTTAAAATTCACTTCTAGGGGATGCGTGTCAACCTTATTTCACAGGTCCTCAGTGTTTGTAGCTAGACCTGTGTGAGCAATACAAAAATGTTTGCTGTCTACATATCTGTTGCTTTTATTTAGTTCCAATTTAGCATAATTGAAACATTGAGAACTGGTTGAGAATGATCATCCTCAAGTGCTATGAGGTTATTGAGGACTACCATCATTGGATTTTTGCTTGTCAGCACAGTTTAAGTCTCAGGCTAGTGTAAATGTCAAAGGCTGCCATGCACAAGTTACAGCATCTCAACAGGTGTGAAATGAGGACAGGCATTGTATCCCTTTAGTACCTAAGGTTTCTTGCTATTCAAATACGACAGCCTCTGCGGTCGAGTGGTAGAGCGTCTGCCCGGAGAGCGGAAGGTCCGGGGTTCAATCCCCGGCGCGACATACCAAAAGACGTTAAAAGATGGTACTTGTTGTTACCCTGTCTGGCGCTTGGCATTAAGGGGTTAAAGCAAGGACTGGTCTGAGTGGGGTATTCATGTTAAACTGTGGCATGGTTTCTCAGTGGGCTAGCACTATAAATCGGCATCAGTCCGGTCTAGTACAAGCAGCCACACACACACGCATGCACGTCGCTATATAAGTGCAATAATCTTGGATGCGACGTTAAACCGAATTTCATCTCATCTCATGCTATTCAAATACAGTTGGAGCAGCATACTTCCCTGAGATCACACCAGAATAAGAAGTAGGAGTATACTACTCCACTTTTGATAGGGGTAGTTTTATCTTTTCATGGATCGATGCTCATGTTGTCAATCACTAGATTGTCTGGTCCAGACTCTTATTTGCAGACTGCCTTCATATAGCTGGAATTTTCCTGAGTGCGGCGTTAAACAACAAACAAACAAACACATGTGCCAAGTGCATATTTATATAGGACTAATCTGATGTGTATTTCTATCAAAATTTGATTAGTGTATGTTAGCAACTTAGCAACCTAAAATTAGAATAATCAATTTTCGAAATGGCCAAGAGGATCCCTTTTACATTGAGTAGGTTTCTTTGAGTGAGTGGATCTGTTTCAAATGTTTTCCATGTGTATGGCAATCATTATGACGTCGAAATCGAAAGGATTTGTCCATTTAGTTGATGTTGAACATTTAACGTTTCTCTGTGATGAAAATTGGAATTACCGTTTGATACATATGAAACTACCCTAGCGGCATTTATTTCTGAGAGAAACTGAATAAAGCTATGTTGGAGACCTGTTAGAAGTTAGTACTGATTTATTGGACATGGATCTATGCACAATGTCCTCAACAAACTGAAAAGAAATTGCCCTGAATGGTGTGATTCCAAGAGAATTATATCCATTGGCTGAAAACTTTTCAAATCTATTGTTTTATTCCTTTACTTTCTGTGTGATTTCTACTGTATGTTTTCTTTTACAAAATTAAGAAATGAAACAAACCCAGCTGCTTATTTTTCTGAGAGAAAGGAACCTGATAGATTTTATTCTCGCCATTGTTTCTATTTCCCCTGATATTGAACAAGTTTGCCATTTTCAACAATGTATGATCTGTAAGCAAATTAATAACCAAAGTAGTAACAATTGAAAATCTAGGTTTGTTAATTACATAATGAAAACCAAGTCAGGCCTAAGTTAGAATCATGTCAAACGAAGAGGTTTTGATCCTGCGAAAATATCAAAACGATATTATTGATTTCCTGTTGGCAAATGCATTAAGCTCTGTTAGTTTGAAAGAAAATGTACATTGAGAAAGCTAGCAGTGTGAGGAAGGTGCCCATTTGAATTAAGTAGATCCTGTTTTGAAGCATGAAGACACAGCTGGTTTCACATGTTTCATTTGGGTAAATAGGTTTTACCGTATTCGACGTAATAAGCGCCCAGGGCACTCTCAAAATTAGAAATGTGGGCTCTTATTATTAGGCTATTTATAGGCTTATTATTTTGGTGAAAAAAGACAAGAGTTGAAAGATAAATTTCATGGTTATGCTGACAGCCTGAAATGTTAATGTACAACAGATATATTTTTCCAGACTTTTATTGCCCATAATTAAGGGTGCATATAGCACACGAGTGCATATTATACGTGAATAAATAAGTCTTGTGTACATTGATCAATTGGAAGGGGTGCTAATTGGGAGTGTTCACCCGCCAATATATCAGCAAATGTCACCGTGGGCGCTTATTAGAGCGGGGCGCTTATTACGTCGAATACGGTATTCAGTAAATGAGATTCTTTCTCAAATTTGATGTTACTGCCAGGAAATTAACAGTTTACACACATTTGGATTTTCAATTACTTGTTAAACATGCAGTTTCTCTGTGATGAAAATTGGAATTACCGTTTGATAATAAATGAAACTACCCTAGCGGCATATATTTCTGAGAGAAAACAGCGTAAAAGATTGTTTTTTCGATTTAGCAGAATTTTGTGTATTTTCATTTCTTGAATGATTGGGCTGACAAGGTTTGTGTAATTAGCAGCTTAATAACAAGCAAATAATGTTTAAAAAATCAATCTGGTTTCATTTCATTTGAACCATCCTGGAAATCAAGTTTGGATGTGGATACATGAAAATAAAGAATGAGGTGTCATTCTTGATGAGATTGTAAGAAACATGCCACAACTTGTTAGTGTCCGCCATGATGTTGGCCAATACTAAATGGTTGAAACTATCCTGTGTCAGTGAATAATTAAGTCCACTTTTAATCGAGTAAGTTCACATTATATGCGTTGTAAACATTCATACATGTCATTCTTTAAACTTATTGTTTAAGAAGTATATCAGGTTTCTCTGTGATGAAAATTGGAATTACCGTTTGATACATATGAAACTACCCTAGCGGCATTTATTTCTGAGAGAAACTGAATAAAGCTATGTTGGAGACCTGTTAGAAGTTAGTACTGATTTATTGGACATGGATCAATGCACAATGTCCGCAACAACTGAAAAGAAATTGCCCTGAATGGTGTGATTCCAAGAGAATTATATCCATTGGCTGAAAACTTTTTCAAATCTATAGTATTATTCCTTTACTTTCTGTGTGATGTCTTCTGTGTGTTTTCTTTTACAAAATTAAGAAATGAAACAAACCCAGCTGCTTATTTTTCTGAGAGAAAGGAACCTGATAGATTTTATTCTCACCATTGTTTCTATTTCCCCTGATATTGAACAAGTTTGCCATTTTCAACAATGTATGATCTGTAAGCAAATTAATAACCAAAGTAGTAACAATTGAAAATCTAGGTTTGTTAATTACATAATGAAAACCAAGTCAGGCATAAGTTAGAATCATGTCAAACAAAAGCTTTTGATCCTGCGAAAATATCGAATACAATATTATTGATTTCCTGTTGGCAAATGCATTAAGCTCTGTTAGTTTGAAAGAAAATGTACATTGAGAAAGCTAGCAGTGTGAGGAAGGGTTCCAATTTGAATGAAGTAGATCCTGTTAAGAATCATGAAGACACAGCTGGTTTCACATGTTTCATTTGGGTATTATTCAGTAAATGAGATTCTTTCTCAAATTTGTAACTGCCAGGAAATTAAGTTTACGCACATTCGGATTTTCAATTACTTGTTAAAGATGCAATTTCTCTGTGATGAAAATTGGAATTACCGTTTGATAATAAATGAAACTACCCTAGCGGCATATATTTCTGAGAGAAAACAGCGTAAAAGATTGTTTTTCGATTAAGCAGAATTTTGTGTATTTTCATTTCTTGAATGATTGGACTGACAAGGTTTGTGTAATTAGCAGCTTAATAACAAGCAAATAAAGTTTTATAAAATCAATCTGGTTTCATTTCGTTTGAACCATCCTGGAAATCAAGTTTGGATGTGGATACATGAAAATAAAGGATGAGGTGTCATTCTTGATGAGATTGTAAGAAACATGCCACAACTTGTTAGTGTCTGCCATGATGTTGGCCAATACTAAATGGTTGAAACTATCCTGTGTCAGTGAATAATTAAGTCCAATTTTAATGGGGTAAGTTCACGTTATATGCATTATAAACATTCATACATGTCATTCTTTAAACTTATTGTTTAAGAAGTATATCAGGTTTCTCTGTGATGAAAATTGGAATTACCGTTTGATGAAACTATGAAACTACCCTAGCGGCATTTATTTCTGAGAGAACTTGAATAAGGCTATGTTGGAGACCTTTTGGAAATATTACTTCAAAGTATGGAGACAGACAGTGCCTGGAATATTTGATTGTATAAATAGAACATCTATCCAATTTTGAACACAGGTCTATGCACACAATCCCCTGAACAGACCGAAAAAGAAATTGCCCAGAATCCTGTCATTCAAAGAATAATGCATGGGCTGAAGACTTGCACATATGTCCAGTGCTTAAGCAGTACATTTTTCAAATCCATCAGTGGTACTCCTTTACTTATTGTATCATTTCTTACATATTTTATCATGTTTTACAGTTGATCGCCATAGCAACTGGAGGTAGAATCGTTCCACGGTTTGAAGAGCTGACCCCTGAGAAGCTGGGAAGTGCTGGCATCGTGAAGGAGTTGAACTTTGGAACAACCAAAGAGAGAATGTTGGTCATTGAGGAGTGCAAGAACTCGAGAGCGGTCACCATCTTCATCAGGGGAGGCAATAAGATGGTGAGTGTCAAGTTGTTGGAATTGTGAGTGTTAAGAGATTTATCTAGGAATTAAAACTAAGTACACTTGCCAGCCAAATTAGGAGAAATCGTTCAAAATTTGATCTATTTTTTTTCTCAGTTTCCTTATTTTAGAGGTATTTTACATTGCATTCAATGCAATAATGTTAAACTATTCTGAAGTACTATTGTCAGTGAAATTCAAGTTGCCTTACAAAGCCATAGCACTTATTAATATAAAAGCATGAATTGGTAAATGTTTTGTTGCAGTTTGGATTTTATTTTACTGATATTTGCTGCTTACTCGGGGCCAAATATCAGCCCCTAATCAGGTTGAGATAAATTCCCAATTCATATTCTGGTAAATGTTTTGTAATGTAATTAACCAAACACTGTTTATATCAGTAAACACATCTTTGTCATTTCTAATCTGAGTACGTTTCCTCTTTTGGCATGTCAAATTTCTGCCAGTTTTACCATTAACTGAGTGGACCAGACAACATGCCAGAGAAAATCATCCCGAACCATTGTCAGACTTACTCAATGAGTCTCACACACTGATAAGGATGAAACATTGACTAACCTTTATTTCAAAGTAGTTTGTCAGGTGTTGATTGTGTGACCAAAAAGGTCAAAGTACTTATAATACTTTGTGACCGCCTCGGTGGTCTTGTGGTAGAGCGTCCGCCCGGAGAGCGGAAGGTCCAGGGTTCGATCCCGGGCCGCGTCATACAAAAAGACGTTAAAAGATTGTACTTGTTGTTACCCTGTCTGGCGCTCGGCATTAAGGGGCTAAAACAAGGAGTGGTCGGCTCGGAGTCAGTATACTGTGTCTGAGTGGGGTATTCATGTTAAACTGCGGCATGGTATCTCAGTGAGCTAGCACTATAAATCGGCATCAGTCCGGACTAGTACAAGCAGCCACACACACACATACACGTGCATGCACGTCGCTATATAAGTGCAATAATCTTGGACGCGACGTTAAACCCAATTTCACCTCACCTATAATACTTTGTTTTTTATGTTTGTCTAGATTGTGGAGGAAGCTAAGCGAAGTCTTCATGATGCCTTGTGTGTAATCCGAAACATCGTCCGAGACAACCGTGTTGTATACGGAGGTGGAGCTCCCGAGATCGCCTGCTCACTAGCTGTGTCTAAAGCTGCAGATAAGGTAGGGCTAGCTAGACCTTACCGTTGTCCTGAAATTGAGTATTTGATGTAGAAATTAAGTTAATACTCTGTGGCGACCACCGAACAATTAGCAGGCTTTCATAAGAATTCAGTCATCAGCAAAGATTCAGGTTAGCATTTACTCAAGAGGGTCTACAAATCTGACAGCATGAAATGACATGTGTAAGCTTTTGTTGCAAGGAGATTCATGATACGGTTGACACAGACATAGATGGACTAATGTTTATAGAATCTTAATGTGCAGGTTGATCAGTTTCGTCAAAGGAAGGTTGAGTGTTAATTATGATGAAGCTGATTATGATCAAATTTTCTGTTGCAGTGCATTTCTTGCTTGTTTAGAGAATTCTTTTTTTAATAATTGATTGTTTTGTTTTTTAGATTTCAACTCTAGAGCAATATGCAGTGCGTGCCTTCTCTGAAGCTTTGGAAAGCATTCCTTTGGCATTAGCAGAAAACAGTGGTCAGGCCCCAATCCACACGCTAGCCGATGTGAAATCTCGACAAGTCAAGGAGAAGAACCCTAGGCTTGGCATCGACTGTCTCTTGAAAGGAACAAATGGTATGTTGGTAAATAAGTTGCCACAAATTGAACACCAGATTGGACTAGAAAGGCCTTTATACCAGATGGTATAATTTGCCTTAAGTCCCCGGCTCCAATATGTTTCCCTGGCCAACTTGAGGACCAATTTGAAAGTATAATCTTTATACTAAGTGCAATGGGGGATATAAACTTGACCAATCTGGTTATGAACTTGCTAAGTAAGCACATTGTTGCACGATCTGGATAAAGTACACATATTTTAATGCAAGTGTCTTAGAAAGCGAGTCACATTGCATTTATTGTTAGACCAGGACGCATACACTTTGCAGAAACATGTAAAGTGCAATACAGTTTTGGGTTCGGGGTCTGTTAGGAAACATTATGGGACAGTCTCTAGCTCTGTGTAGCGACAAGTCTATATTAAAATCGTTCAGAGGAAGCAGCACAGATACGGTTACTGCAGCTTTGGTCCCCCTACCAACAAATGAGTCAGATCACGCGTTAATGTGACAACCCAATCACCAGTGGAGTCGCATATTTCAAACATAGACACTACATTTTACCACTATATAGCGCCTAGTTGATGTTTGGGTTCAGGTTTAAAGTTATGAACAGGTTGACACTTGAAACATCAGTAGGGCCCTGAGTGAATTTCTCTGTGATGAAAATTGGAATTACCGTTTGATAATGCATGAAACTACCCTAGCGGCATTTATTTCTGAGAGAAACCTGGAGGCCCACCTTAACTATTTCTTTCGATGCCAGGTCCAGAGGACTAGTGTCAACCTTATTTCACTGATCCTAAGTATTTGTTGCTAGACCTGCTTGGACAATACAGTGTTTACGGTGTTTACATTTTCTGTTGGTTTTATTCAGTTCCAATTTCACACAATTGAAGAATTGAGAGTTGGTTCCAAATTATAGTGCTTAATGCTTCATGTCAATGAGCACTACTATCAATGGATTTTTACTTGTCAGCCCAATTAAATAGTCATGGGCTAGCTTGAATTTCGAAGACTGGCATGCACAAGTTACGACATCTCAACAGGTGTGATATGACCTTCAGCATTGTATCCCTTTAGTGCATAATGTTTATTGATTATCAGATAGTTTGAGCTGCATACTTCCCTGAGATCACACCTGAATGTTTGTTGTTTAACGCCGCACTCAGCAATATTCCAGCTCTATGACGGCGGTCTGTAAATAATCGAGTCTGGACCTGACAATCCAGTGATTAATATCATGAGCATTGATCCACGCAATTGGGATACGATGACATGCATCAACCAAGTCAGCGAGGCTGACCACCCGATCTCGTTAGTCGCCTCTTACGGCAAGCATGGGTTGGTGTCACACATGAATAATAATTATAGGTATACTTATCCTTTCGGTAGGGAGATTTTTTTTATCTTTCCAAGATACACAGAACGACATCTGATTATCCCTGTCGAAAGTTTGAGTTGTGTCTATTAGCAAACTGAACTTTTGATTTTCAGTTATTCAAATGACCAAGGGATAACGTTTACAAAGTTAGTTTGCCTTGGGGGGAGTGGGACTCTTTGCAAATGTTTTCCATGTGGATGGCAATAATTATGACATTGCAATAAAAATTTGCAAGAAAGATAAGGTTTACAATGTCCAGTTGGTATTTGCATTAATACTTTTTGGTTAGAACAATGCGGCGCTCGGATAGCCTAGTGGTTAAAGCGTTCGCTCGTCACGCCGAAGACCCAGGTTCGATTCCCGACATGGGTACAATGTGTGAAGCCCATAATTGGTGTCCCCCGGCGTGATATTGCTGGAATATTGCTAAAAGGGGCGTAAAACCATACTCACTCAATCACTGGTTAGAACATTAATGATATGTAAAGTTATATTCATCCGTGGAACATGTGGAAAAATCATAACGACCAGTACCATAAATGTTTGGGGAATCAAAGGTTTTGTCCATTAAGTTGATGTTGGAACATAAAACGTTTCTCCATGATGAAAATTGGAATTACCGTTTGATACATATGAAACGATCCTTGCGGCATTTATTTCTGAGAGAAACAAATGTGGAAGTATTGAATTTATCGGTTCACGTAATTCACAAACATTGAACATGTTGAAGCTAATTACGTGTATTACCTCATTCCTCTATGCATGTGACCTGATTATAGTTGGTTTGTCAGTTCAACACCGCCCCTGTGGTCTAGTGGTAGAGCGTCCGCCCGGAGTGCGGAAGGTCCGGGGTTCGATCCCCAGCCGCGTCATACCAAAGGAAGTTAAAAGATGGTACTTGTTGTTACCCTGTCTGGCACTCGGCACTAAGGGGCTAAAACAAGGACTGGTCATCTCGGAGTCAGTATACTGTGTCTGAGTGGGGTATTCATGTTAAACTGCGGCATGGTGTCTCAGTGTGCTATCACTTTAAATCGGCATCAGTCCGGACTAGTACAAGCAGCCACATACACGTGCATGTACGTCGCTATATAAGTGCAATAATCTTGGACGCAACATTAAACCCCATTTCACCTTGTCAGTTCAACAAGATGCCCACGCTGATGGGTGATGCCCAAGGGATAAACATCCAAGACCTGCATCATTTCCACAAGTTGACACCGTGATATGACTGAAATACATTCAAAGAGGCGTTAATCAGAACTCATCGTTCTGATGGTAGCCGTTGTTGGTTGAAACAATTTGTTGTGGCAACAGAAGAATGTTCTAAAAAATGCACAAAATGTTCAAAATACTAGTCTCTGATCATAACTGAATCAATCAGTTTGTTTTTGGTCAATGAGTTCAGTTTTACTTTTATTCAATTCACAGAATGTTAGGTTCTAATAATAGTAATAATCATGTTAAATTAGCATTGTTGTGAACATGGTGAAATACCCTTTCAAAATCCTTGTTTGACCGTCAATTTTCTCCATGATGAAAATTGGAATTACCATTTGATACCAATGAAACTGTCCTAGCTACATTTATTTCAGAGAAATTTATTCAAATGGAAGTACTTGAATTTGAACTGAACATTTGATTAATTGATGGAATTGAATAGAGTTTGTTTACATGGTTTAGATGTTCCATATAACAAAATACTGAAGCTTCTTACTCTATGAAATGGAGGGGATTTGTACTGTAAATACCCATCCCTCTTAAAAAGTCATTATTATACTTGCTGGCTATAGTACTCCGAAAAGATCCATAATAATTTCTAAAGAGGCATTGTGTATTCATACCTTTCGGCCATGAGATCCGTGCCAATTTACACTTATCAGATGGGTAAACAAAGTACATGATCTAGACTACCAGTTGTCCTACCTTCATTCTTGTGGAAGCCTTGGTGCCTGAGTGGGTTAGATTGCTGACTCTTTGTATCAGATGGGACTCAACCCATAAAAAAAGTACTAGAACTTTGTACTCACTGTCCCAAACTTATATAACTGTCTAATAATTAACACTTACGTCACTTACTTTTCAGTTACTTACTTGAAATGAATCAAGTTTCTCTGTGATGAAAATTGGAATTACCGTTTGATGATAAATGAAACAACCCTAGCGGCATTTATTTCAGAGGGAAACAAATGTGAAAGATTGTCTTTCAATTCAACATTGCCTTGTGTATTGAGGATTGGACTTGCAGTGTTTGAGCAATGAGTAGCTTAATAACAGCAAAGTTGTAAAAGATAGAAATCTAGTTTTCATTTGAAGCTTGGGTTTTTGATACATTAAACTAAAGGATGCGGGTTGAACATTCATTCTTGATAATATTGTAAGAAACACGATGCAACAACTTCATGTCATTAGCCATGATGATAGCTTATACAAAATGGTTAAAACGATCCTTTGTCAGTGAATAATCAATGTCATTCAATTTTCATATGCAAAGTTCACCTCGTATACATAATTAACATTCTTACATGGCCATGATGACATTCTCCTAAGTTCCTTATTAAAAAGTATGTCAAGTTTCTCTGTGATGAAAATTGGAATTACCGTTTGATAATGCATGAAACTACCCTAGCGGCATTTATTTCTGAGAGAAATGGAATATGAAAAATTGTATATTCACCAGTTTCCATTTACCGTTATAGTGAACAAGTTGCCATTTTAACAATTTATGAGCTGTGAACAGCTTGATAACAACCAAAGTAGTAACCATTTAAGATCTAGTTATATTAATTATATAATGAAAACCATTTTCGGCATAAGTCAAGGCAAGTGGTATTGATTCAAGCTAAAATACATGTTGGAAAACTTAAGGATTCATCATGATCCTTGAATATGAACAACTCGCTACTGTCTCTTTCAAGTACAGTGAGCTCGTTCATCCTCAGAGAAAATGTACATTGAGAATACTATCAGTGCAGTGTGAGGAAAGGGTCTTGTTTGAATTAAGTAGATTCTAAGCATAGTGTCGACTCAGCTGGTTTCAAATGTTGTATTCTGACAGCCTTTCCGTATACTGTAAATCTTGACATTAACACGAGCGTGAATTAAAAGCGAAAAATGTGAGTGGTCTTTGCTCACATTATTAAACATAGAATTTTTATCAACAATAAGACAATTTGGATAGCAGAAATACCAACTTAGACATTCGCTGAAGACAAGCAACTATGTATTCCACATCACTGTTTATTGAGCAGCACTTGTAACAAGTATATAAACAATGTAATTCAAACACTAATCACTAATGCTAATTACATCCTGTGAATTGTCACTGCTGGGGTCCAGACTCGAGTTCTACTCACTTATGTCATCACTCATCACACCTGCAAGTCCAGACACTCACCACCCACACAACATGGTGTCTTTGCGACTGTGTAAAAGGCCAATACGAGCCAGCGTGCATTTATTGCTTAAGTGGAAGTACTCTACTCAGCTCTAATAAGCGGTGCTATTTGGTGTGTGATTGGACTAATGTAAGGTTGGATTAAGATGGGGATTCTCCTGTAAACCTGACAGGACATTTTCTTTAGATATAAATCCACTGATGCTTGAGAGGAGGGGTGTCGCATTCATATTTTTGGCTAGGGGTCAGCGCTCGCCTTCTTTTGGAGACGCATTCATTTCACGATTTACAGTATATGTCAGAACGATTAAGTTTCTCAGTGATGAAAATTGGAATTACCGTTTGATATTTATGAAACAATCCTAGCGGCAAAACTTTCTGAGAGAAACTTGTATTGATTTAAGAATTTTGGGTTGTATTTTTTATGAATGAATTCACTTAAGCAGATGTACAAACACATCAGTGATCATGCCCAACTACATCTTCCACAAATAAACCCTCCCTTGATTCAATGTTTGGAGTAAAGTGACGGTTTGTGGCCAGTCTCGGTGACTTGGTTTGTTATTTAATGCCACACTCAGCAATATAACAGCATCTTCCCTAGGCAAGAGAGTTAACTGACTATAAAAGTCCAGTTTCCACCCTTGCTGAACTAGGCTGGAATTACTGGGCTCGATCGTAGCCCCACCAGTGGCTGTTACCGGTTTTGTCCCTTCTAAGCCTCTCCTTGTCACTGTATGGCTGAAATATTGCCGATGTGACGTAAAGCATTAACTCACTCACTCTAAGCCTCTCGTATGGACCAATCGGATTCCACCTCTCGTATGACTTGCGTTTGCTTCACACAAAATGGTGGCGCCCAGTCAAAACTATCTGATCGATAATCAAGATCTATATTGTGATAAAACGGATCTTACATCGCGAAATGCATCAAATCACGTGAGCACTTTGATTAGAAACATGAAAAGAATTAGTAAATATCTGCTGACAACGAGTTGGCGGTGCACATGCTTTGCAAATCCTGCAATCGACCGAAATCTGCACGACAGTTTACGAACCGGATTTCGATTTCGGTGCACGAATTTGATTGGACTATGCATAGACTCGTTAGTCCAGCCAAAATGTAACTCCATAATACCAGCCTAGTTCGGCAAGGGTGGAAACTGGACTTTACGACAAGCATAGTCACCTTTTAGGGCAAGAATGGGTTGCTGAAGATGGATGTTCACAGGTCCTGTGACTATTACCGAACTTGGGGGATTGCTCGAGTTGACGAGTAGCTTTAAGTTTCCCTGCATTCTAAAACACGTTGAGATATAACTTATTTGCTGCAGTTTCTAACAGCCCTCCGGCTACTTGACCTTTGATTGTTTCTCTGTGATGAAAATGGAATTACCGTTTGATATTGCATGAAACTACCCTAGCGGCATTTATTTCTGAGAGAAACTAAGTCAGAATGATGTCATCCTTTTAGTGGTAATAAACTGGTAGCAAATATATGAAATGTGTATGATTGAGAGCGAAACCTTTTGGTTACATACTTTTGGTGCGAGGTTTAAATTATCGTCTTCATTGATGTCTGGTAAATAATGAAGGATAAATCAACTATTGAAGAGATAAGTATACACATTGAGAATATTCAGTTGACTGGGCTAGAACTTTTGTGAAAGTCGGATAGCCTGAGTAATGGACCCGGTACAAAAACGCTTAGTTCGTAATCTTGCTGTCAACATTTCTATGATCTTCAATGTTTACTGAGAAACATGTAGACATTTAAGAAGTCTGTTATTCAGATGGTGGTTATCATGTCAATCTCTTTTTGTATTTTCAGATATGAAGGAACAGAACGTGATTGAGACCCTAACTGCCAAGAAGCAGCAGCTGCTATTAGCCACACAACTGGTTAGGATGATCCTCAAGATTGACGACATCCGAGCACCAAATGAAATGTGATCATATCAGGACTGTGTAGGACTCCAATCTATTTATTTCACTTGACATTGCTTTCCACTACTCGTGGAGACAGTCTCAGGCATTCATGGCCAAGTCTCTTAATTCCTGCCTGCCGAATGTTGAAATGCCAACACCAGCCAGTTGGTCATTAATATTGAGGATAATGTTATGCCTAGGGACTTGTCAAGTGACCGCTGCATCATCAGTGCTATTTCTTCTGTTTCATGTTTTGCAAACATTGTGTGATTTCTTTTGTGTACATACATGTCTTTTTGTACAACATTCACAGCAAATATACAGATTAAAAGAAAAACAGGAACTAGTGTGTTGGTGATCTTTACGACTTGAAACAAAAATATTAATTTACATGTTCATATTTACACAACTCTTATTACCCTTTGTCTGCTCGTTACCTGGGGTCTCGTCAGCTGTGCTCTGGGTGACAAGAGACCAGCCTTAGAAATTGGCACCAGTCCTGTAGTCCTTGCCAATCTGCCCAATAGTTAGGGTATCATAAGGACTAGTAGAAATTTGCCATTTTTAAGGGTTTTGCTATATGTAATCATTATAAGGACAAGAAATGTTAGTTTCTACCCCTGGAGACCATTGTGTGGTGGGGACAATTTATGGGGTTATCGCCTCGGCTTTGCCCTGATACATATTTATTCATACACTGTTGGGGGTAGCCTGTGTAATCCTCTGCAATTTGTTCTGCAGTGTGACATCTCTTAGGCTTGACAGAATTCAATGTTCACCTGGCTGTTTCTAGGCTTGTTGGCACTGCCAGTGTTAAGGGGGTTTCACTGAGGTAATATCTTAAAACCTGCATCACTTCAGTATTACCTCCTACATCAAGGGGACCGCCTCCATGTCCTAGTGGTAGAGCGTCCGCCCGCCCGGAGAGCGGAAGGTCCGGTGTTCGATCCCCGATCCCCGACCGCGCCATACCAAAAGACGGTAAAAGATGGTACTTGTTACCCTGTCTGGCGCTCGGCATTAAAGGGCTAAAACAGGGACTCTTCGGCTCGGAGTCAGTATACTGTGTCTGAGTGGGGTATCCATGTTAAACTGCGGCATGATATCTCGTGTGCTAGCACTATAAAATCGCCATCAGTCAGGACTAATACAAGCATCCACACATACACGCGCAATAATCGGCACGACATTAAACCCAATTTCACCTCACCTCACCTCACCTCATCTACATAAAGGGCTGCCTCCATGGTCTAGTTGTAGAGCGTTAGGCGCTGGCATAAAGGGACTAAAACAAGTTCTTGTTGGCTCGTAGTCAGTATATTGTCTGAGTGGGTGTCCATGTTATATACGTGGTATCTCAATGGGCTAGAAGGTATTTCAGTGGGTTAGAAGTATAAAATTGGCATTAGTCCGGACTAGTTGAAGCCCACACATCATGCATGCAGGCACCTTGCTATAGTAGGTGCAATAATGTTGGATGCAACGTTAAACCTCAGCTCCAACATCAAGGTGACCAATATTTCGTCCGGAAGTGAAGTTATCATATACTACTCAAAAGAAGTTAAGGATCACCCGATTCTTTCATATTGGTAATGTAATCTGTCATGGCATGAGAGATTAACTATTGTAATATGAAAGAATCAGTTGACCCTTAACTTTTGAGTAGTATATTTCAGAACACGAAAAATGCATATCTACAAACTAAAAAGTAAAATTCGAAATGGAGTCCAGAAAAATGCTTAATTTCAGCCAATAGGTCAGGCAATCTTGACTTGCCAAGGCTTTCTGGACGTAAGTAACTGCAGTCATGACGCCCCATTCACTCTTCAGATAATTCTGTTTGTGAGACTTGAACGATAAGCTATCAGTTAACCAGTGTAATGTCTCCATTGTGGTATGATAGCAGGCAGTTGTGATATTATATAAGTGAAATACTGTCCAACAGGTGTTAAATCAACTCGCTCTCCTACGCTGCCTTGTATGCTCTAAGTGGGCGGGCTGTTGAGGCGGCAGATGTATGGTGGTACTAGACAGTTAGACATACAATCCCATTCCTGAAAGGCAGGAAAGAGGCCCCGCACATGCACCCACTGGTGCCTGGGAAATTTATCTTCCGATCGTAAAGTACATGCAGGACAACGACCCCTTCAGCGTTCTCCCACTTAATGAAGCACTTGTAAAATTTCCAGATATTACAAGTCATTTCCAAACCTCTGCCAGGCTTCTCCGGTCTGTAGGTGTAGAACAATAGTGGAATGTACATTAATCGTTATTTGTGTTCTCGTGATTCGATATCCCCTGTAGCCAATGATTGGAAGATTCGATTTGTTTGCTTGTGTCATCGTACCCCGACGTTGATGATCATTGCTCATACTATCAACCACTGGTTTGTCTTGTCCAGACTCGATTATTTATAGGACACCGTGATGTAAGTGGACAAAAAGTGTTAGCTTCTTTATAATACTGTAATGCGTAGCGACGTTTCGGTATAGGTCCTTGTACCCTTTACAAGGAAGACTTGTCCGCCCAGACCTTCAATACAGTTTCAATACCAGCATTCTGGTTACCTGTACTTTTCCTGGGTGGTATGGTACAGTGCAGTGATGGTTTCTTATGTAGCTGTTCACTAATAGACGCTTGTGGTGAAATAATGTCAGAAAAGGTATAGACCGCCTCCGTGGTCTGGATAAAGCAACGACTGTCGGGAGAATGGAGGTCGGTTGTTCGATCGATTGACCGCGTCATGCCAAACGACATTAAAATAAAATATGGTACTTGTTACGGTGCCTGGCGCCCGCCATTAAAGGTTTACAAGGACTTTTTGGCTCGGAGTGAGTATGATGTATACTCACCGTCAAAAGAAACGCGAACTGAAGACATAGAGAAGCATGTACGTTAAGAAGAAACGTTTCCAATGTGTACCACAAAAGGGAAAATCAAGCAAGTGTTACCACAGTTTCTTTTTTCTTATAACGATATGCTGCACGTGATTTCCAAAACCTTAAACGCAAATCCTGCACAAGACAAATGGTGTTTCTCCAGTCATGGATCTATGACGTCACATGTGATGCGTTCATGAGCGTCGGTTTACACATAACAGTATGTTCGTTTGTGCATCGAACCAATCTAATATCGCTTAAATATGAGTAATTCTTCATATTTTAAACCCACATGTACGTTGCATTTGTCGGTGAGTATATATGCATGTCGTTATACAAGTGCACTTATTTTGACGGCGACGTTAAAGCCTCTTTTACATCACCTCAAAGCGAGTACTTGTCATTCCACAATTAGACTCGGTGCCACATTACGCATTACCATAGCCAACATAAAGGAGGTCACGTTAAAATTTGTCATGGTAGGTTGAACACAAGCCTAGCCATAGGCATTGCCGACAACATCTTACGCGTTCTGTTCAAAGTAAAGTATAGAGGTCTCAAATCAACGACACAAACCTTAAAATTCAAAACAATATATGAATTTCATAAGGGATATAGTTGGTCCTAATACATTCACCACGGGTAAATAGAACTGCTTTGAACCGCATGTACATATATGGCTTTCAACACCTGTACATAGGCGGTTCCACCTTGATATTGCTGTTGTCGATTGTCCATCACGTCCATTGTAGTACAAATGTAACTATGGGCCGATGGCCTACACTTACGAAAATAAACCGAATTGAATTGAATTGAATATTGCTGGAATATTGCTAAAAGCGGCGTAAAACGATATTCACTGAACCCCATACCGGCGTTCATAATGTAAACCAGGCAATGCAATGCGTAAAGTTTATTATTATTTTCAATGAAGAGTATTGTATTCATTCATACGACATGTATTCATTCACATAATTCAATAATGTATAGCTCCGTTAGCCTTAGAGTTAGCCTGTTAGCTGCAGTCGACCAAAGCTATAACATGATATTCCCGACAATATTGTATTGTCCTGTATATACGTAGCTATGAGTCTGAACACGCTGTTTGTTCTCGCATTGTAAAATACATAGACGGGAATGCTAAATATAAACAGGAGTCTTATTTTTTTAAGGTGGTTGTTTAATGCCGCACTCATCAGTATCCCAGCTCTATAACGGCGGCCTGTAAATAATAGAGTCTGGACCAGACCATCTTTCCGAGACAAGAGCGTCCATTAGCCTTTTAAACTCTTGTAAACTAGACTTCGATATAGGTTAGTGGACACGCTTGACTCGGGAAGATGTACTCAGACAATCCAGAGAGCGGACAGCGATCTACGCTGTCTGGGTACGGTGACGCAGTCAACCAAGTCACCAAGTCTGTCCACCCGTTCCAGGGGCGGTCGGGTAGCCTAGTGGTTAAAGCGTTCGCTCGTCACGCCGAAGACCCGGGTTCGATACTGAAACGATACTCACTCACTCCACCCGTTCCATTAAGTCGACTCTTGCGAGTAGTATATGGGATGCTAAAGGCCGTCATATTGTTGGAATATGGTGAGTGTGGCGGTAAACAACAATGAAACAAATATCTAGAGTGAGTGAGTGAGTTGGGTTTAACGCCACTTTTAACAGTATTTCAGTAACATCACGGCGTGTCGGCTTAATGTGGGAGGAAAGACCGAAGTGATGCAGGTCTCAGACGTTTACCACTTCGGTGAAACCCACGAGCACGGGTATGGTGCTGACAAACCAAGAAACATAATTGGGGCGACCGGGATTCGAACCCGCAATCATAGTTTTCTGGCGTGCCCAAGGGACGAAACTCTGCACAGCGAATCGCGGCGCCTTAGACGACTGGGCCATCCGTGCCCACACAAATAGGTTGATGTTGGCCTATTATTGCAAGGTGTTTTGACGTAAACATGTATTAATACTCATGTAACATGCACATGTAAAGTAAACATCACGGTGAAAGCCACGAACACGAGTATTAGTCTCACAAACCAAGCATCACCGTGAAACCCAGATATATACGGTGATGACACCAATCAGTGCGATTTCCGGGATTCGAACCGACTGTCAGGGGATCTGATACACCTAAGGGACAGAACTCTGCATAGCTATATAATTGCAGAGATGCACCTGATTGTATATCCATGCCAAAGTACCTACGTATGTAAAATATGCACACATGTGTAATTATGTCATGCGAACGAAATTGCAAATTTTCACCAGGGGTAAATTTACATCAAGTCGAGAGGTTGTGGAAATGTAAAGGTACACATGTGTAGCTTACACAATAAGTTGTTCTCACCCCTGTAGAATATTTCAGAGTTGGCAAAAACTCTGGCATCGTGGACACATATCCGATATTTATGTTTCTAAAAATATACCGATGATCGGAAGGATCCGCCATTATCAATGTATACCAGGCCTGGCGAATTGGGTAATCTCTGTGTGTCTCTCTCTTTGTCCTATTTTAAGGGATAAGAGTTCCGTCGATTGCACCTGGCCCAGTTGATGACCCCTGCCAAACCTAGCTCACATAGCAAAGAGACGTAGTCGTCCTTATATGCATGAGACATTCACTAAAAACTCACATACATGGATTCTGTAGTTTTGACAACACCCAAAAGGTTTCTTGTATAGTTCTGTGTTCCGCTATAGATGCTAACCTTTTCCTCTACTGGCATTGGTTCTCGTACCCAGTTGTCATCAGGTTTTATAGGTGCTCTTTGACTTCAGCAAACGTGTGTGCAAACCACAGTTAGTATTCCAATCATTGTCAATACTGGAACGTACTTTCGCACCAAGCCGTATCTCTGTCAACCTTTCACACACATTTGTCTTTATATGAGCCAGCCAGTATTGTCAAACCAAGCTGATGAGGAAATTGTCTCCTGAAATAAGTCCAAATGATGCTGAAGATGTAGCTTTGCATTTTCTGCCCTCAATATACAACGCCTTAACGTCAGGTACACGTGTAATTGTGCACACGTGAGTAAAAGTTGTGCATGCGAACAGGGCTATAGACCAAGAGGATATCAGTGGATTTCATTACATGAGATAATTACAGACATGTACATACTTTTCCACAGACATACTGTACTGATTTACAGCGATATACTAACTACATTTACTTGAATACCGACAACCCGTGAAGATGCTTGCCGCAAGAGGCGCCTATGCTTGCCGTAAAAGGCGACTAACGGGATCGGTTCTTCAGGCTCGCTGACTTGGTTGATGCATGTCATCGTATCTCGTTTGCGCGGATCGATGCTCATGAAATCAGCCACTGGATTGTCAGGTCCAGATTCGGCTATTTACTGACCGTCGCCATATAGATGGACTTTTGCTGAGTGTGGGTGGCATTAAACAACAAATAGACAAACAAATCTAATGACGAAATCGATGTTGATTATTTTAATCAGACAAGATGTCAAAATTAAATCCCTCTTGTCATTTGTCGTTCGACATTGGAATTTTGTACTGCACTCATTGATTATATGACGTCAACTGAACAATAGGTTACCTTCAGCGGTGTTTATCTGTAGGGATATTTGATACGTTTTTCATCATCTCCTATCTTAAAACGTCAATAAGTAATATACAGAAGAGCCTATTCGATATCCTGACTTGCGGGATATTTCGCTAAAGGCTCGGTACTTCCACCATTTACGCAAGTATTCCGTATCCTCGAAGCTGATTGGTTATTCTCTAAAATAGTATCGGCTATAGCAACAGTCATGCATGGGCGAATGTAGACAGTGCGTTCAGTCGAAACGTAATAGTTAACACGCTCCCGTTTGTCAAACTCCAGGCATGTGATATATAATCTAATTCGAGTCCACAATTAATGTTTGGAGGACAAATGTTTCATAATGCCCATGGAAAACTGTTTCCGATGGAACAATTTCCTGTAATTTAGATATGGTTTACAAATGCAATAGTTAGCGGTTCATATTATTGCGACGATACTGTCAATCATCAAGGGGTGATTACCTTGCATAAAATCATCACAAATCAACAATAGCCCTTCGTAATCATGCGTCAGCGACCATTTTAATATATAGCCCGCTCTTCGCTATCATATGCTAACAAGCCATTTCACTCCTGTAATGACCAACGGTTTACTATCCAACGAGCGTTTCCACAACTCAGAATAACATTGCCCGATACATAATTCAACATATGAACAAGTCGTTATAGTTGCAACGGGCGCAATGTATTGCAACCTATGTTTAAATTGTACTAAATTACTTTTTTACTTAATGACCCTTTATCGATTTTGATATTTTCTCAACAGTAAAGATCATATTTCGTTTCGACACAAATGCTTCATCGAACGCGTGTCGCGGGTTTGACGGATCCGTCGCTGAAAGGGCTCTCACACTTCATTGATTCGGTCCATAGCAACGCATATAAACATCCCTTGGATATGGCAAGGACTTATATGACGGCTTGGACATCGGAGGGATAACATCGGGGTTTGTGAGTCTCGGATATGTATATGACAGTTTTGAAGGGTTAATTTACAGTGAACAAGCAATAGATCCACCATGCCGGAAGAAAACGTGAAAGTCGCCGTTCGCGTGAGGCCATTCATATCCTTATCAGTGCATACCGTACAATTCCTCCATAGCCGAACTGTCACTTCAAAGCCTATGTACAGTTTACGAGGTAGGCAAAAAATGCGCTTTGTCACTAATGAGCGTTTATTTGTTTGTATGATTCTGTTTGTGTTATTTTGTAAACCTGTGAATGTAAACTCTTTCATGTCGTGTACATGCTATTGGCTTTTAAAAAAATCATAATTTGTATAACCTGACGTCATAATTATTTTAAAGAAATACATATTGTTTGAATTGCGAACTGTTCGCATAGTTAACCAGGACTATAGGATTAATGTAGTATTTCCCTGGCACATTTAGAAACGTTCAGTTTGCATATTAGTATTAATTTCCGATTTAACACATATATGTGTTAAGGCGTGTATACCAGTGGTATGTGTTATAAATTATCCAGCAAGGGGAATATTGATTTTCTGAGACTGAACAATCAGGTACAAATTGTCATGGTGCTCGTGAAGACTTGCATTGCAAACAGCAGTGCTTATTTCATTTAGAGCAGGAGTGATGAGTGCCACTGTACAAAACAAAAAACCCATCAGGGACTGACATTGATTTTCTTCTGGAGTACTTTTTTTTAAAAATAATTTGTTTCAGAAAATCCTGGGAAAAAGTAATTTTACTCAGGCTTCAACAAAATATTTGTTTGTTGGACATGCTTGAGGCCTTTGTGAAAAGGGAACAAATTTAATGTCCTCAAGTAGTGACCGAATAAATATTCTCTCCTGACAAAAATCCCGTTACATTGGTGGTCCATTACCAACAGCATTTTTTAATAATTTTATTCTTTTGTTGCGATAATCAACATTTACAGAAGAAAAAAAAATAACAGTGACCTCCAGATGATATAAAAATAACACCAATCTCCATATATATTGAACAGCACCAGAGTGGAGATGTTTATACAGACACTAACCAAACAGAGATGACATGACGACCAGAACTTAAAAAAAGAAAAGAATCTATGTTACGTTCTATTAAAGAGGAACATTTAGAGATCTTATAGTACTGTTATACTTCATTTAGGATTCAGGGTACTATAGAATGGTGGCATAGTTTTGTGAAACTTACTTTTGAAAATCAAAGTTTTAGAAAGTATTACAATAATGTTGATTGGATCATTGTTGCTACTTGGATAACCTTGTAGTACTTGTCTTGTAATTTCAAGTTTGATTTATATTGATTGTAAAGCCATATTTCAAGTAATTTCCAGGTAAAGTTTACCCTAACACCATAAACGCATGGCACTTACTTATATATGACATTGTATAAGTAAAACTCACCCAAATTCACAAACTGGTTAGGGTATATGGTAAATAAAGTCCTGATATATTCTAAATATCGTCCCTGGTGCATGTTTTAAATGTCTTGTTTTGTTTTTAAAATATTTATTTTCATATATGGTCAGTGGGATTGGGTAAAAGTTATATAACTTAGGTGGCTCTCCCTCTAATACAAATTAGGACTGGGACGGGTAACTGGGGTACCCGGGTCAGGTGGGTACAGAGTAGGCCCCGGGTAGCCACAGGACTACCCGGACCCATGGTTAGTCACATGATATATTGTCTAATGACTAAAATTATCTGGAACTCTATGGTTACACTATAAGTCATTAATGTTCGCTTTTCTTTCTGACTAGGCACCTTCTGACTTTTCATATGGTTGAATAAACATGTAACTTAAGTCAACTTCAGTGTATGAATGACCAGATTGTTTAATACATGTATCTAAATACGTTTTGTCAGGGCTATGCTAAAAACGTTCCCAATAGGACATTTTGAGACATCTCCTGAGACCTAGAGTGGGTACCCGGGTAGGGTAGGGTAATAGGGGGGGTACCACACACACATTGATTTTTAAATATATACATGACATTAAAAAAGGAAAAAACAGAAATGTATTTACATGAAAAGCATAAATATTTTCTAAACTTGTTTGGAAGAAGACCATATACATACATAAAATGCATATATGAATTATGAACACAATACACTTGTACAAACACATAAATACACAAATACATAAACATACACTCACATGCAAACCTACATACTTAATCACACATATACGCCTTCAATGAAGCATCCAGTGTGGGCTTGGCAATCAGAGAAAATAACTGAACTGAACTTTATTTACACTCAGGCCGCTATCAGCGGCATCAGAGGTACAAAATTATTTCAACAACATAATACATATACATATAAATATAGAATAAATACAAAAACATCTTGGCCGAGCATGCATGCATATTTATACAGATTCACCAGGGTAGCAATATATGTGCAATTCAGAAAGAAGGAGAGTTACTTGTTAGGTTTAAACAATGACATGATGATTTTACAGAATTTGGACAGTTTTCTCAATGTTCCTAGTCGTGAATTATCATTACACTTAATCACACATATATGCCTTCAGTGAAGCATCCAGTGCAGGCTTGGCAATCAGAGAAAATAACCAATCTCATTAAAATCAGATCTTAGTTTTGCTTTCGCTAAATAAAGCTTAGTGGCAGTGAGAACTTAGATCTGATTTTAATGAGATTGAGAAAATAACCATCATTTTGATGGCACCAGATGCTGAATTGTTCAAAATGTGTGAAATATGCACTTGACAATAAAATGGATGTTAACGTGTATTATTTAAGTGTTACTTTCAAATTGTATTGTCCTTGTCATGTCCTTGCCCGCTATGTAGTGTGTTTTTGTAAAAATCACATGAGCAGTTTCATGAGGTGGAGATATTTTCGTTATATGAGGCATTATCAGTCAATTGGACTGAATTTCTTGAACACAGTGTGATCTGATTGTCAGATCTGGGCCAGAAAAGGTTTACACTTGAAAATTCAAACTTCACACTCATTACTGTATTTAACTTTTAGCCTCCATCAAATTTGTGTGTATACTTTCTTTTGCCTGTCAGTCTGTTTGGTTTATGGGAATCATTTTCTGTTTCAACAGGTTCTATAAAGACACAACATTCACAATGTCTTGCATGTACATATTTAACTTTATGAAATTAAGCACATTAGTATTCTTAAGCACTGTTATACTTTCAAGATTATTTGTATGCTCAGTTGTCACAAAAGAATTAAGTAGTGATATTATTTGGCCCATTTTTCTGTGAAATATACCAACAGTGTGAACTCTATGTTTTACGCAAAGTTACAATAATACAGTCGGATTCCTGTCTCACCAGCATCTGTAAAGATAAAAGGTTCAACTGACAGTAGTATTAGCCATGACAGCTGAAGTATATAGTATGTAGCTATGGATATTCATGTTAACCTTCTCATTTACCTATTATTTCTAATTCATACATGTACGTTAAAATATCTCCTTGAAGCAGGATAGCTTCCATCATGGTATTGTAATCTGTACAGTTAATTACACACACACGCACACGCACTCGCACGCGTGCACACACACACACACACACACACACACACACACACACACACACACACACACACACTGGGAGAGAATTTTATTATTGGACCCCTCCTTTTAACAAATGCTAGAGCTGCACTTGCATTTCACTGAGGTTGCTTTTCAATTAAAAGTAGTTGCTTGTTTCTATCAAAATTATATATTTTCAGAGACGAAACCTTAGTCTACAGTACCATGAGATGACCATCATTCAAACCAACTTGGTCCTTTGAAATGAAAATAAATTTTATTATCGTTATTTATAAAAGTATATTATTTATCACATTCATATGTTTTACATATATGTTTTACATATTCCTCAGTTGACCAACATGTTTTACATACTTTCGAGACCCATGAAGATTCCAGGGTAGAATAGGTCTTCAGCAACCCATGCTTGCTGTAAAAGGCAACTAATGGATTGGGTGGTCAGACTCGCTGACTTGGTTGATGCATGTCATCGATACCAATTGCGTGGATCAATGCTCATGATATTAATCACTGGATTGTCTGGTCCAGACTCGACTATTTACAGACCGCCATTATACAGCTGGAATATTGCTGAGTGCTGCATAAAACAACAAACCAACTAAACCAACATATTTTCGAAATGGTTTCCTTAACACTGTTCACAATAAACGGGAGCGGGAGCGCAATGCCACATGCATTGTTGCCATGAATGGCCCAACAACAGTCATCACAGATCCCAGCAATAACGAAGAAAAGAAATTTAACTTCGACTACAGCTACTGGTCACATGACGGCTCCAAGGAAGACGCGACTGGCTATTATGGCGCAGATCCCAGCCATCCTAATGGCAAGAAGTTTGCAGACCAGGTAGGACAAATGAGATATCTTGTCACGTCTACTGGCCATATCAGAATCTCTTCATTTGCAAACGGACATGTTGGTGCGGCACCAGGAATAATTCTTTGTGCACTGGGGGAAAAGAGGAAACAGTTCGCCAGCAGACTGGGAGTGTCCGTTATTGTCAATGGAGATAGTGGTGTTCGAGATAGAAAGGGCATCAGGGTTTTGTTAATAATTAATAGGACATGTCGGAAGTTTGCTGAGCAGGTGAGATATATAAGACCTATTATTGGAAGAAAGCTGCTGATGCCCCTTAATTAGATGTGCAGTCCGTCAGGTAAGAGATAGGGAGTTTGTTATTGTTGGAAAGCTCAAATCTCTCTCACGTTGAAAAAATGCATGTTGGCGAGATTAATTTGTTTAATTTTAGGAAGTCAAATAACAAAGGCAGGTAGTTCTTGCTGCAGGATTATGTATATTTAGTGATACATGGATACTTTTTGAGTGAATTTTGTGCATTTGAAAGAATTAATAAAAAATAAACTTGAAAATGTTTTGGAACAAATTTGAATTTGCATATACCAGCTATAAGAAGTGCATCTGATTTCAAAATGTACCTTTTTGGAAAATCTAACTGCTCAAGGAGAGTATTTGATTTCAATAGCACTCAAGACATTTCTTAAACTAAAGTTAAAAAGACATTTACCAAAAAATTGATGAATTTCAAACTGACTAGGCAGAAGTACCTGTAATCATTCTGAAAGAGAACATCAGCATTTGTGTTGTCCTATGTTTTTCAGAAACGAGTATTTGAGGACCTGGGTCTTGGCGTGTTGAAGAACGCATGGGAAGGTTATAATTCCACACTGTTTGCCTATGGGCAGACTGGCTCAGGGAAGAGTTGGTCCATTGTTGGCTATGGCATCAATAAAGGTAAATAAAACTGACGAAATTCTTCCATAATCATAAGAAATCTCTGGTAATCGCAAAGTCCATTGGACATGTCCATATATATCATAATCATGTTTTTATCAATCACTATCAAATACAGTAGAACACGGATATAACGAACACGGATAGAGCGAACAAACGGATACAACGAACTGTTTAAAAATCCCCGATTTATCTCCTATATATTGTCATATAAAGTTTACGTACATAACGAACCCTCTACAGCGAACCTCCAGGATATAGCGAACTGATATTTGATCTCCGACAAGCCCACCTACCACTTATTAGTGACGTGTATAGCGAACTGAGAAATCTCACTCAGTGTCAAGTGACACTGACAATTGGATGAATCAAACACAGCAATTTTCTTTATTTCATTTTTTTCACTTTTGCTAAATTTAGGGTTTCAGCAGTGCTGAGAGCTAAAGTACAAAGTGTAGGGTGGTACCTATTTTTACACTGGATTCAGCAGTGCTGAGTGCTGAAGTACAAAGGTTAGGGTGGCACCTATTGTTACACTGGATTCAGCACTGCTGAGTGCTGAAGTACAAAGTGTAGGGTGGCACCTATTGTTACACTGGATTCAGCAGTGCTGAGTGCTGTAGTACCAGTCTAGGGTGGCACCTATTGTCACACTGGATTCAGCAGTGCTTAGTGCTTTAGTACAAAGTGTAGGGTGGCACCTATTGTCACACTGGATTCAGCAGTGCTGAGTGCTGAAGTACAAAGTGTAGGGTGGCACCTATTGTCACACTGGATTCAGCAGTGCTGAGTGCTGTAGTACCAGTCTATGGTGGCACGTATTGTCTCACTGGATTCAGCAGTGCTGAGTGCTGTAGTACCAGTCTAGGGTGGCACCTATTGTCACACTGGATTCAGCCGTGCTGAGTGCTGTAGTACCAGTCTAGGGTGGCACCTATTGTTACACTGGATTCAGCAGTGCTGAGTGCTGTAGTACCAGTCTAGGGTGGCACCTATTGTTACACTGGATTCAGCAGTGCTGAGTGCTGTAGTACCAGTCTAGGGTGGCACCTATTGTTACACTGGATTCAGCAGTGCTGAGTGCTGTAGTACCAGTCTAGGGTGGCACCTATTGTTACACTGGATTCAGCAGTGCTGAGTGCTGTAGTACCAGTCTAGGGTGGCACCTATTGTTACACTGGATTCAGCAGTGCTGAGTGCTGTAGTACCAGTCTAGGGTGGCACCTATTGTTACACTGGATTCAGCCGTGCTGAGTGCTGTAGTACCAGTCTAGGGTGGCACCTATTGTCACACTGGATTCAGCAGTGCTGAGTGCTGTAGTACCAGTCTAGGGTGGCACCTATTGTCACACTGGATTCAGCAGTGCTGAGTGCTGTAGTACCAGTCTAGGGTGGCACCTATTGTTACACTGGATTCAGCAGTGCTGAGTGCTGTAGTACCAGTCTAGGGTGGCACCTATTGTCACACTGGATTCAGCAGTGCTGAGTGCTGTAGTACAGATCTCTACCCATCTCTTGACTTCAGGCGTGGTGCCATTGTTCTGTGAAAGGATGTTCATGGGTATTGATGAGAAGAAAGCTGCGGGAGAGAAAACTGAATTTGAGGTGAGACATTACAGGAAAAATGTATATCTGCAGAAATAAGACTATTTGATGCAGTAAATGGTTAAAGAATTTCTGCTGAAGTATATGCTTAAAGAATATCTACAGAAGAAAATGTTTAAATGTGAAAGGAAATGGTTAGGTGAGTCATTGAGATAAGATTTTGCATCACATTAGCAATCTTTTAGCTTCTTAGCACGGTTCATTACACTTTTAGAATAACTGTTACATATGACAGATTTGTATTTAGAAGCAGCAAGAGAACATTAAAAAAAATGAAATGTTTACAATTGTCTGCAAAAGTAAATGTGTAAAGAGAGTATGCATAAGTAAGGTGAATAATTGTTTTAGGTTGGTTTACAGAATTTTCTTTTGTTGTTGCTATTCGGTGGACAAAATGAAAAAAATAATCGTCTTCAAATGAACATGTCAGTGTTCGAAATCAAATTTTAACCAAAATCTCAATTAAAATTCTGAATTTCCTGAATTCATGCCCCTAGACTGCACTCACGGGGCACATCATAGTCGCCATTTTCTCACTCTATGTCATATTGAAGGGCCGCAACTGTTATCGGTCTACATCACTTCAAACTTTGCGGTAAACACTACGCTATGTATTTCATATCTTGCAATGAATCCTCTTTTCAACTCAAGTGATATTTCATGTCAACTTATTTTTGTTTTTATTCAACTATGCCATTAAAGTTGGTATTAAAAAATATCAGAAAAGTAATTTGAATTTTAGTTTCATTTTGATATTTTTCATATCGGTGGATCTGTAGCCCTCCCTCTCCAAGAAAGATTAATCCCCTAAATGATTAAGGAGAACACAGAAGTAAATTCTCAAAGAGTGTTCAAACAGAATCACAGTAAACTATGGTTATAACAAACCGAAGGGGCCACTAATTTTAATTCATTATAACGGTAGTTCATTGTGAGCATGCGTACAGCATATATACAGCGAATGGATGGGAAAAGAATAGTTCATTATATCGTCAGTTTATTATAAGCATGTTTGTTATAAACATAGTTTACCATAAAAAAAGGAAAACTGTAGGAAAACTGTTAAATGAATGTCTGCAAAATAAAACATTGTGCATTCTATAGACCTGTTAGTGTGCCTTTGTCTGGACAGTTTTCTATCAGAGTCAGTTAGTCAAAGTCAAAGATATGGATGTAATTTACATAGGAATTAACGCCTTACTGAAAGCCATTTTTCATTCATTTTGCATTGCACTAACAACAAATCATGAACCATCTGATGACAACATTTAGAATATATAGCTGAAATGGGAATCCTAACCAGTACTAGCACTGACAGGTCGCTTTTAAGTGATGATATCATTTATTAATGGTTTGCTTCAGGTGAACTTCAGCATGTTGGAGATCTACAATGAGCAAGTGCGAGACTTGCTGGATTCCAGATCTAAGAAAACTGGATTGCGTGTCCGACAGCATCCCAAGAGCGGGTTCTATGGTTAGTATAGTATTGAATTTCAAGTCCAGATTGTTTTTACATGTATGGTCTACCATCGGCATTAATCATAGTCTCTTGGTTATTGTGTCTGTATTCTGATCCAGGTGGATCTATGTCATCATCTCTTTCTTTCATAAATTCTAGGATGTTTGTTTCAATGTTAAATGGTGACAACAGGTTTTTCTTACAACAAATGTATAAATTCAAATTGAATAGACTGCTAATACTACAGTTGTACAGTAAGTACCATCCAAACTATCGAATATTGGCAACATGAAATAAAGGGTCCCCATTTCTCAACAAACACAGATGGTTTATATTTACATGCATGTATTTCTCCATGCTCCATAATAGAGTGACAGATACCCAAGATGACATACTATGTATATATCTATATAGATAAACAATTCTAAGGTGAGTTTGTAATTTTACCAGCATCAAAATATAGGATGTTTCCAAAAATATAGTGACACAAGTTGTCTCAGAAAGCAAATGGACTTAAAAATATTATGAGAGATAGACTATTAAATAATTCAGTGTATGTTTCTGTTCTTAGCTGATGGCCTGAGGGTTGTGCCAGTCAACAGCTATGCCGAGATCGAACAGAGGATGGAGGATGGTACGACCAACAGGACTGTTGCAGCCACCAACATGAACGCCACAAGCAGGTAGCGGATACTTCTCTCACTTAACTTATCACAGCTTGTAAATAAGATGTCAAAGGCCTAGCATTTTACAGTTCCACCCGTGAAGATCCAGGGTAGAATATCTCTTCAGCAACCCATGTATGCCATAAAAGGCGACTATGCTTGTCGTAAGAGGCGACTAACAGGATGGTCAGGTTTCGCTGACTTGGTTGATGCATGTCATCGTTTCCCAGTTGCATTGGTCGATGCTCTTGATGTCAATCACAGGTTTGTCCGGTCCAGACTCGATTATTTACACTGCCATCATATGGGTGGAATATTGCTGAGTGCGGCGTTAAACAACAAACAAACATTATAGTTGAAATGAACACAAACAGATTTCAAACAAGGGACACATTCATTGACAATAACATCTAGAGTGACACTAAGTGTGAAACTGGTCAGTGTGTCCCCTGTGGTTTTACTTGTTTAACGTGGAGGAAGAGGTCAATAAACAGTTTGCCCCACGCCTGGGTGGGGTGTGGGGGACCCCCAGGACCCCTCCCTGGATCTGCCTATGTTAAAAATAGCACTGGGACCCTGTTGGTACCAAGGAAGGCAACAGACAATGCCATGAGAGGAAATTGCCACTCTGCATAACCATGAGAGTAGGTGATCAATCTACATGTTCAAAATGGATGTCTTGAAGTGCAGATAGTCACACTACGTGTACTTAAGAGTAGATGGTCACTCTACATGGCCAGCAGTGTCACCGTACATACCCACAGAGAAAGTGGATAAAACTGTCAAAGAGGCATAGACATTTGGTAACCCACCTTATTTCATGATATGTAGCTCCTTTGAAGCAAATTAAGTACAAAGTTATGTCAAAATGGTGTTAAATCGCTCACTCACTCACTCACTCACTCACTCACTCACTCACTCACCAATCCAAGCAACTACCCACCAACCAAAGCAACCACCCACCCACCCACCCACTCACTCACTCACTCACTCACTCACTCACCCACCAATCCAAGCAACTACCCACCAACCAAAGCAACCACCCACCCACCCACGCACCCACCCACCCACTCACTCACTCACTCACTCACTCACTCACTCACTCACCCACCCATCCAAGCAACTACCCACCCACCAAAGCAACCACCCACCCACCCACCCACTCACTCACTCACTCACTCACTCACTCACTCACTCACCCAAGCAACCACTCACTCATCCAAGCAACTACCCACCCACACAAGCAAACACTCACTCACTCACTCACTCACTCACTCACTCACTCACTCACTCACTCACTCACCCAACCAACTACCCACTCACTCACTCACTCACTCACGTCTGACAATACACTGACATCCATTCCAGTGATTGCATTAATGAATCTCATCACCAGTACCAGCAATTAGAAATGAATGTTTTAAAGAGTCCATGCAAACCAGAGACACAAGAGACCACACCAACATCACATGAATCCATCTGAATTACCAAGCATTGTCAAGCTCATACACATGCTGTGTGATGACATAAAATATTTACACCCACATTGTGGTATGTCTGGGTGTGTCTCTTTAGTCGTGGACAAGTATATGTTACCAATGTATCACCCTAGTAGCTTGCTATACATTATAAAACAGGACTTTGGTTTATCAGAATAGGCATTGAATGCTTTGAATTAAATAGCTTCAATTTGGTCATGGCATGCATAAAACTACAAAGTCTGTTAAACAAGCATGGCAGAAGAAAGATAAAATATTGCAAGATACAATTCAGTACAGATGGTTTGATTTTGTGTTTCGAATTGCAATATGTTTCATGATTGTGTGTATTCTGGGTTATCTCAACTCCTGGCAATCAAAGTATTGTGACAATTACCAATACCGGTATTAGTATAACCATGTGAGCAGTTTGTCCGCTGATATACAGTGATGCTAATCAAGTAGCATGATGCTGACCTGTATCAATACATTGTAACACTATTAGTTGTGGATACAAGCAGGCTACCAGTAATAACAATTGTCCTTTTTTGGCAATTTCTGACAATGAGTGAGTGAGTATGGTTTTACACCACTTTTAGCAATATTCCAGCAATATCACAGTGTGGGACACCAGAAATGGGTTTCACACATTGAACCCATGTCAGGAATCGAACCCGGGTCTTCAGCGTGACAAGCCAACGCTTTAACCACCAGGCTAAACCCCCCCCCCCCCCCCCCCCCTAGACAATGAAATGATATAAGGCCACTCATTTGTAATTTTACTGTTTAAGGGTCAATGGTTGGAGCTGTACACACAAACTGACCAAAGGCAAGATACACTTTCTGGCCATTGAAAATACCATAACTACAGTATCCGACGTAATAAGCGCCCCGCTCTAATAAGCGCCCATGGCGATATTTGCTGATATATTGGCTAGTGAACAATCCCAATTAGCACCCCTTCCGATTGATCAATGTACACAAGACCTATTTATTCGTGTATATAATACGCACTCGTGTGTAATATGCACCCTCAATCATGTGCAATTAAATTCTATTAAGAGCCCCCTATTTCTAATTTTGAGAGTGCCCTGGTTGCTTATTACGTCGAATATGGTATTAAAGAGAGAAAACACTTTTTCTGAAAAACATGACTCCTTGTTACTCTTGTGACTCCTTGAGAGTAAGCATGGTTTTTTTTTAACAGATCTAGCTTTTATTCTTTTCCACACAAAGAGGATTTATCTGTATGGTACAGTTTGTATTCAGTTACACAACATCATATTAGAACTTCATAATAATTTCATCCATAAAATGGAACAGAGTAAAATATGCCTACTACTAATATAAAGTACATTTGCTATGGGCTTAACTCCATACACTATAGACCCGTGAAGATTCCGGGGTAGAATAGGTCTTCAGCAACCCATGCTTGCCGTAAAAGGTGACTATGCTTGTCGTAAAAGGCGACTAACGGGATCAGGTGGTCAGGCCTGCAGATTTGGTTGATGCATGTCATCGATCCCAATTGCGTGGATCGATGCTCATGACATTAATCACTGGATTGTCTGGTCCAGACTCGCTTATTTACAGACCGCCGTCATATAGCTGGAATATTGCTGAGTGCGGCATTAAACAACAAACCAACCAACCAACCAACCATACACTATATGAATGCTCACAGCACTACATAGGATAGGGAATTATGTTCTAATTCACTATGTTCAACCGAACATAAAACATTTACTATGACAACATACTCCACTCATGGGTAATGCCTACCGCTGTTAACAGGCGAGCGGGTTTATTTACAAAATCATACATGTAGACACGCAACTGTCGTGTTATATTCCATTCCAAACACCGACACTCCATATTCTCTAAGGTATTCTTTCTGTAACAAAAACGTACATTTTAATATTTTTGGCACATAAAACCGTTACGAAATACTGCAATATCCTTGTAATATCGCGCTTGAACACTTTATAAATTACTGCGAAATTAAAAATATAAAGATAACTTATCTGGACGGTGGGTCTTCTTGTGTATACAAATCCATGTCTGGACTCCTGAATCACCTCTCTGTGGGATCACTCACTGAAAGAAAGCAACACCCTTCTCCGTGCTAAACAGCACTCAATGCCCTGCGGCAATTTTTCCCATACGGTTTTACCTGCCATTCGGCAACACTGCAATAACAGGCCGTCCAACACAGACAAGCATTACACTAAAAATCTGATTACCTTTATGTGTATATTTTTAACAAACAAAGAAGACAACAGCTCGCCTGTGTGACGCGAAGGCCTCGAGTGGTGTTTCTTGCCCTCTCCTCTGCACCTTAAGCACGTGACGCCACCGCTTTCACGTGCACAGCCTTCTTCAAATCACATTCGTTACCGTATTTACCCCATAGTAAATACATTTATGTTCTAATTCACTATGTTCAACCGAACATAAAACATTTACTATGACAACATACTCCACTCATGGGTAATGCCTACCGCTGCTCGAATTAAAAGAACGGGTCCATGCAGCAGATTTATTTCGACTTATTTACAATCCCAACATTGATGACACACTCAACAGTTCAGAAACATTGTCTTTGATATAACCGTCTTTGGCCTTATCTGACGCCCAGCGTCCGTGTCTCTTGAACAGTCTGTCTGTTACTCCGGCGTTAGCTGCAGCAGTCGCCCCTCCTGACCGAAAACTGTGAAGACCCACTTTTTTGACATCTTCACCGATTAGTTTGAATTTCTCAATAAAGATTTCCCTCGCTCTGGTATATGATAAAGGTTTCTGACCTTTAAGTACATACTTTTGTACAGATTTACAGAAGGAAAGTTGACGAAAAATATATTCATTGGAAGTTTCAGCAACATTTCCAGCAATCAGGTACCTGTTTAGCATATTTACTGGACATAGATCTGAGCCTGTAGCAGCGATCAAAACATGACGCCCATCCCTATAAACGTCAGTTTTACTGTTCTCAACAAAAATACTCATGAAGCCATCCTTGAATTTAATGTTTGACCGTCTGATATTCACTACTTCAGAAAATCTGAAAAACCCAGCAAAAGATAAAAGTGACATTGTTAAAAACCTTAAATCAAGTAGAGAGGGAGTTTTCCCAGATATACTAACTAATTTCTTTAACGTGTCACAAGTAACAGGTTCTTTTTTCTTGACTGGAGTACTACACGTTCTTAATGCCGCTTCTCTGATGTTCACAATCAAATCATGTTTACAAGGATCTGGCAGACATGCAAGCTTGTGCGCCCAACTAATACCGTAAATAGCTTCCATGACAGATGGAGCTTTCTTACCTCCCTGAACAAGTGATGTAAGATACAAAGCAACATGAAATGGATGAGCAGGCAAACATGTAATCTCCTTAAATTTTGAACTCCATTTTTTCCAACTATTATAAGATCTTTCATACTTATAGACTGTCGCTGGGGCCTTAGACTTGAGAACTAAATCTGGCATATGTCCTGCTAGATCAATAAGGTCTGTATGAACTAAATTGTTCTTCAGCTTCCAGATACCGGAGGAGAACATGTCTGAAACAACAACATTGATCTCATGGAATAATTCTAACTGCTAATGCGTAGCCATCGAATTTGTCAAACAAGGATTTCTTGCTGCCGCCTGAAAATGCAATACTTCCATTTAATTGCAAACTATCAGCGATATAATGTTTGAACTTTCCGTCATCAAAAAGTGAAGTCCAGAACACAGCTGATTGCCACCTAGGCACTACTAAAGTTATGCTAGCTTCACTTTGAAGAGCATATCTAATAGCCTTTGTTACCAAATGCACAGGGGGGACAACCCAGTTGTTATCATATTGCCATGACTGTGTAAAAGCATCTACTGCTTCTGTGCCAGGGCACCAAGATCTGGAATTGAATCTACACAACTTAGCATTATAATGACTAGCAAATCTATCAACAGTATGTGGACCCCACTTCTGGTTTAGCAACTTGAAGACAGCATCAGTAACAATCCAGTCATCAGCATCTTTAAATTTACTTAACGCATCTGCTCTGTCGTTCTCTGAACGTGGAATCCAGCTAAACTTTATCCTGATGTTATACATCCTAACCACGGTGAACACGGACATAGCAAGCTCCTGTAAGGATGAATTGAAACTACCAAAAGAAACAATTTGACAGCAAGCCTTGCTATCTGAGAACCACTTAACAGTCTGATTAGACAGAACCTCTCTGAAAACGTTCAAAGATAATTCAACAGCCTTCAATTCCCGCCAAGTTGAACTCTTGCCCACTTGATCCTCGTCCCATAAACACTGAAATACCCGGTCAGAATTCTGTATATAAGCAGCACAGCCCTTGGAACTAGCATCTGAGAAAATGGTCAAAACAGGAGCAAAAGTTTCATAAAATCTTCTGCTATTAAAAGTGTAAACATTATCTCTCCAGAATATAAGTTCAAATACACACAGGGGGTCAACTAAACTTTGCTTTCTATCCCAACTTGAAGCTCTTTGTATTACTGAATACATGCGTCTAGTCAAAAGTCTGCAGACATCCCCATAAACTGGTGAAAGAGAGATAATTTGTCCTGTTAAACTAGCCAGGTTACGTGCTGTGAATTGCGGTAAACCTGCCAAAACTCCTGCGCATGTGTTTCTCACATTATCTAATCTCCTAGAAGGAATAGATATCACACCTATGTCAAGATTCCAATTCAGCCCGAGCCATTCAAGGTGTCTTGTGGGTTCCCAAACTGACTTCTGATCGTTACAAACAAAGCCTGCTCTGCACAAAGAAGATTTAACAAAACCAGATCGCTCCTTGCCTAAGGCTTCAGACGAAGCAAACCCAAATCCATCATCTAAGTAAACTACAACATCTACAGAATGTTTTCTCCAGTATCTAACTAATGGCCTAAAACACTTAGTAAATATATAAGGGGCCGAGGTTAGACCAAAAGGTAAAACTGTGAAACAATAAAAACGCTGTACACCTTTAACTGACCAAGAAAAGCCCAAAAACGTGTGTTGACTAGGGTGAATATCTATGTGGTGATACCCAGACTTAAGATCAAACTTGTACATGTATCCACAAGGTCTAACGAAATCCAAAGCAATCTTGTAATCCTCAAAGACTATCTTTTCTTTCCAAACATATTTGTTTACCACTCTTAGGTCTAAAATCAACCTTTTCTTACCAGAGCTATTAATAGAAACTGATAGGGGATTTACAACCTGAGGTAAGTCTACGACTTCAACAATACAGTTGTTTAACAGGAGATCCTGGATAGCCTCAGAGACAAAGTCGCTATGTTTTACAGCAGAAGCGTTGTTCTTACTAATAGACAAGGGAGGCGACTCCACAAAGGGGATGATGTAACCTTCCATAATAGTTCTAATGATGAATTCTGGAGCTTCTATATCCTTCCAAAATGAGATGTGCCTCTTAAGATTTTCCTTAATGTTATGCTTACTCGCTGACGTATCTGTTCTGTCAAGATAACTAGGTACAGGTACAAAATCAGTACTAATACCTCTGGTTTCAGGTTTGACTTTGTCTATGGGTGAAACATCAAGTTGTGACCTACTACTAGGCTGTTCTGATATTGAACGGGAGACCTGTGGCAAATCCATGTTAGTTTTTCTTTTAATACTTCTGCTTGAGTTCTGATCCCCTGAAACATATGTAATACGATCTCAATCAAGATAGTAACGCATTAGCCACTCAAATATATATGTCATATCTCAAAAGTGGTTTTGATTTACCTGAATAATCACTGCTTTTTGCAGGCCTCTGTAGGCTGAAGTCCTTGTGGTGGGTTGAAATTACTTGACTGTGATGACCTCTGGGCGGCTGCAAGGGGACATGTGGCTCTCCAGTGCCCAAAGGCTCCGCAAAAGTAGCATTGTTGGTTTGGAAGTGGTGTTTTCCTGGGTTGAAAACGAAAGGGCTGGTTCTGCTGAACCTGAGGGGCCTGTTTGGGTAATTCGCTGTTAGGATTGGGGAAAGTTGCAGAAGGATAAGGACTATAACCTCTACCACGGGAATTGAAAGAAGTAGGGCGCTTTCTGCGCTGTGCCTTACTTTCTGCTCTCTCGAAACGTCTCTCTTCATCCGAGTTTGAAGCCAACTCATCCCCTTCCAACTCCGAGACTACTGCCCAACCGGCTGTAGATCTGTCTGCAAGTCTAATGTGCTTGTTTCTTTTACTGATGTTAGAGCTAATTTCTCTCAAGACATGCACACAATCGACTGTGTTATCCCGATTGATAAACCGAATAGCAGAGTCAACCTGATCCAAAATACCAATGTTGAACTTATATTGTAACTGATTCCCTTTGAATCTAAACTGTGGAGAGTCAAAGTCTTTTCTAGCTCTCTTAATGACAGAATACGACCTCTGCTCAGTTTCATCAATAATTTCACTTTTGAAAGTTTTCAACTTAAAGTCCATATATTGCTTAAAAAGTTGAAACGTTTCGTACCCTTCAACAGAATCCTGTGCTTTGTTAGGTTGACCAGGAATGTGTAGTTCTTCAACGGAGTCAAGATTTTCCTGCTGTGGTGAATCCATTCCGAACAAAGAAGACAACAGCTCGCCTGTGTGACGCGAAGGCCTCGAGTGGTGTTTCTTGCCCTCTCCTCTGCACCTTAAGCACGTGACGCCACCGCTTTCACGTGCACAGCCTTCTTCAAATCACATTCGTTACCGTATTTACCCCATAGTAAATACATGACTCTGCTGATACAAGGCCATAGATACAAGACAAATAGATGTGGCAGTTGGTGTTGATTTGAATTTAATAAAAGAGTCTGAACAGGAATGTCTTGAGACATGGCTGGAAGATTCCCTTGTAAAGAGATGATTCCACAGAACTGCAGCATTGTATGCCAATGACCTCTGCCCAAACCTTGTCAGTTTTGTCTTTGGTATACAAAAGAAATGTTTCTCAGCAGATCTAGATGGTTTATACATTCCTGCAGAATTGGCAGAGTTTCATAACTGAGAGTTCTAAGGGTGTGTACTATAAAATGTTTAAAGAAAATATAACCTGTGACAAATATCTTTATCTGCCTAAAAACGTTTATCACCCAGTCTTAAAATTTAGAACCACAAACCATAACTTACCAATTGAAACTGGACGCTGGTCTGGTATCCCAAGAGTGGAACTTTGTGTAATCTATGTAGTTTTCCCACGGTTGGTGATGAGTTTCATTACCAATTCAGACGTGAAGATCTTCTCCAGTGGTAGTCTATGTACATACCTAAAGATCTCTCCGAATGGCCTAATATGTATAAATTGAATTTTTTTTATCAAGCATTAGACTAAAAGACATGAAAAACTTGTACAAACTCATCAGTACCATCTTTAGAAATGTTGTCATCTTGATAATATTATGATATATGAATTTATATTATACGTTTTTCTCATGTACCACCATTGATGGGTCTTTCTGAGAATAAACTGAACTTGCACTTGATAGTCTGTGTGAGCAGTATCATCTTATCATTGTAATTAATACATATTATCCTTATAAAAACGTATTAAGATATCTGTTTACATCGTTAGATCTGTAACTTAAGAGTAACTTGCACTATACGCCATATGACTAACAGATCATTTACCACCAGATAGAAAAACAATTATTGGATTTAATGTAGCGTCTTTCCAAGTCAACACTGAGCCATTACTTCTCTGATCAGATGACAGGTCTTCTTGTGTGGCCTTGCTAAATGAGAATAGTAATTAGCGGATCTAAGAGAAATTAATTAGACGATGTGGCATTGTCTGTCAAGCGTACGTCAATTTACTATTGACATTTCTACAATAAAGCTTTCAGCTAACCAAACTTTCCTTTGACTATACTCAGCGAGCCAAACCAGAATGATCAATAGATGTCTATTCTTATTCATGAGAATGAAGCTTCCGTATCGATTAATCTGATCAGGTATTCGATGCTTCGGATTTTTACAGACCATCCTTTAAGATATTTTGGTTTGCTGTATACTGTAATTTCAGTTGGTAAACATGTTATTCAATAATTGTAAGACAATTGGGATTGTGTGCTGAAATCTTTTGCTTCAAAGCCTGGACATCCTCTAGATTGTATGTGTAAGAATACTTTCCTTGACAAGAACCATCATTTTTAAAACATAAAACTAAATAAAAGGGACAAAACTTGTTCTATAATTATAAGAAATCTCTGCTGAAAGCATAGTTCAACTATATCAGAAGCATGTGTTTATGAATCTATACCAAATACTGTATATGACCACGTATAAGCCGAATTTTGAGGACCAGAAAAAAGATTCTGTAGAAAGGGGTCGGCTTATCCACGGGATACACTTTCATTTTCTTTTGTATTTCGGCTTATCTACGGGGTCGGCTATATCCGTGGTCATATACGGTAGTGATGACACGAGGTGTTTGTGAAAAGGTGAATGTATCCTACCCACCGGTGACACCCATCACAAACACATGTAAAGGCAAGTCAATCATTTACCTGAAATAACACGGGAACATGGGAAAAGATGCTTCAAGTTTGGAAATACCCTCATGTCTACCATAAAACATTTTGAAAGCTTTACTGAGGCTCAGAATGTTGTAGCCTTGAACAAACAACTTTTGAGCAAGAGTAATAGGACGATCTTTGAAATCTTTGTAGAAAGAGCATGCTCTCGATTGTACCGAAAAAGCTGTGAAATGTAGAAACCAAAACCTGGAATATTGCTCGGCATCAAGGGAAAGTTGACTGTTGGAAAGTTGAAGTCATCCTTCTTGACATACACTGTTGTGGAGATTATTTTGTCACTCTGAATCTTTATGCATAGATCCAAATACGAAACAGATGAGAACATTGCACCCTGGGGATCGTCTCAAAAGGATTTGGTTATGATGTACTAATAAGCAATGTTATCATTAACACATATTAGGGAACTGATACTTTATATAACACCCCCTGGAGGGCTGTCACAAATACAGACAGACGTTTTGTAATGTGTCATTGATTTTCCGAGGGATATTGTGTTGCACCATCTGTGTCTGGTAATAATGCTTTCTTTACTGCCTCTATAATCAATGTCCTGGGTTCCAGTTACAGGCAATATCAGTGAGGATGAGATTCCAGTCTGGATTAATGGCATGCTGAGTTTAATGTTACCCTTTCTAAGTAGAAGGAGGGGGAAAGTATACGATAATGTTTTGAATACAGTGATACGTCAGATATGCTTTCAAGAGAATATTAATTCAGATGTTCCTCTGAGAGAACACTAATTCAGATGTACCTTTGTGAGAACACTAATTCAGATGTTCCTCTGAGAGAACACTAATTCAGATTTTCCTCTGAGAGAACACTAATTCAGATGTACCTTTGAGAGAACAATAAATCAGATGTTCCTCTGAGACAACACTAATTCAGATGTTCCTCTGAGAGAACACTAATTCAGATGTTCCTCTGAGAGAACACTAATTCAGATGTTCCTCTGAGAGAACACTATTTCAAAAGTATTGCTATATGTGGACCTCTATTACAATAGTATTGCCATAGTTGGACCTCTATTTCAATAGTATTGCCATAGCTGGAACTCTATTTCAATGGTATTGCCATAGTTGGACCTATGTCACAACAGTGTTGCCATAGTTGGACCTCTATTTCAATAGTATTGCAATTGTTGTACCTCTATTTAAATAGTATTCCAATTGTTGTACCTCTATTTCAATAGTATTCCAATTGTTGGACCTCTATTTCAATAGTATTCCAATTGTTGGATCTCTATTTCAATAGTATTCCAATTGTTGGACCTCTATTTCAATAGTATTCCAATTGTTGGACCTCTATTTCAATAGTATTCCAATTGTTGGACCTCTATTTCAATAGTATTCCAATTGTTGTACCTCTATTTCAATAGTATTCCAATTGTTGTACCTCTATTTCAATAGTATTCCAATTGTTGTACCTCTATTTCAATAGTATTGCAGTGTTGTTTTCATCTATTCCAATGGTAGAACTGGTTCCAATATTCCCCCTACAGTTATATCTCATACACATGCCAAACGACTAGATCATGTAAGACACTAATAAATTAAGATTTGCATTCGACAACACTGTTTGTCAAAGACTGCTGTCAACTTCAGTGTATGGAACTTGCGTAACCCACCATTGATTTGTGCCTGTTGGTCGACGCAATGTTTCTCAGACCAGCCATGGGAACCACTTGTTATTGTTTGTTTTGCTTGGAAGGCATGTGTGCTTGTATTGAGTAAGTACTCTTGCCACATCGCTGTACAAGCCGGAGTTCACCCAGTCTGCAGCGTTCACAGTGCAGGTGTATTTAAGGCAGCAGCAGTAGGTACAAACTGACCTGAAATAACACCACTGAAATCAATGGTATGATTTATTAATTATGGCTTAGTTCTGGAAGAACGTTAAATACACTGACAATTGACAATGGCTTCCAGGCGGTTCACGCTCTGCTGGCTGGCATGATGTATTGATGCATGAAGTAAGGATTATTATGGTCTTCTTGACCTTTGACCCGAAAGTGTGCAGGTATTGACCAATGGGTTGCTGTTAGGAGCACTGACTGTCCTCTTCCCACGCCTACATAAGGATATTGTTGTTGATAATCTTGTTAGGCTGATAATTCTATATACTGGTTGGTTGGTGAAAATAAAAATAATTGATTTCTGATAGTTTTACTTAAGAATTAACGTATGGAGGTAGAAATGGAAAAACCAGAGTGCATACTGTGTAGTGAGTGAGTGAGTTTGGTTTAATTCTGCTTTGCAAAGTATTCCAGTAATATCACGTCGTATCAGCTTAACATGTTGGATCAAAAGCCTGAAGTAGTTTACCACTTTGTGAAAGCCACGACCACAGGTTTGGTGCTGACAAACAAAAAATAAAATTTTGGCAAATTGGGTTTGAAACCTTGTCATGGGTTCCTGGCGTGCCCAAGGGATATAACTCTTTACAGCAAATTGCAGTACTTTAGACGACTGGGCCATCCATGCCCCCACATAGTGTAAATCTGTTACGCTAATAAGATTATACGCAAAGTCTACATACCCATTTTTACATTTATGCCTCCATAAACACACTAAAATTGTAAACAACTATACGAAATCAGTGTCTATTTTGGGGGGTGGGGGTGGTATGGAAACATAAATGCAAACAATATTGCTCACAGTGAAACCTTCCTCTTTTGTTGTTTGTTGTTTTACGCAACACTCTGCGATATTTCAACTACCTGCATATGACGTCAGCCTGCAAATAATCAACTCTGGACCAGACAAACCAGTGATTGATATACTAACAACATCCCACACGGTAGGGGTACGATGACCTGCAATCAACCAAGTCACCTAGCCGGACCACCTGATATGTTAGTCACTTCTTACGTACGACATACATAGGTTGATTGGGATCAGTTCTGTCGTGGAATATCCACGAATCAGGCACTTCACCAGGAATGGCAGAGGATCCAATGTTGAAAATTTGACGTCTGATCAGCAGCATGAGTGAGTGAGTGAGTTTGGTTTTACGCCGCTTTTAGCAATATTCCAGCAATATCACGGCGGGGGACACCAGAAATGGGCTTCACACATTGTACCCATGTCGGAATTCGAACCCGGGTCTTCGGCGTGGCGACCGAACGCTTTTACCACTAGGCTACCCGACCGCCCCTCAGCAGAATGAGGAGATGCCTCGTGAATGTCATCCTTGAG